TACAGAATGTATGGAGTGAAGAGCAACACAGTAACACATGAATCTGTCAGAAATTACATATTTTCATTATGTTTTGAGCATTGACTGTAAACAAAGATGGACAACACTACAGCTCCCCAAAAGTGAAGCCAAAAGATCTAGAACGCCCCCCCTGGTGGCTAGCTGGGTCATAAACCCCACCCCCACATGTTAGTGGATGGGACAGGAGCCAAACTAAAAACACAAAGTACACTTAAAATAAATTTTTCCCAAAGACAGTTTCTGTCATTTTAAGTAGTTCTAATTGATCTGCTGCTTGCTCAAGTGTTCATTTTTCTGATGAGTTTGGCTATAACTAATCTGATGTTTAAAAAGGGGGTTTGATGTCATGATTGACACCTATGTGTGCCAATCGATATGCTTGTTATCAGTGGCGTTACTCGGGATAGGTCGGACGGATGTTTGGATTGGAACTCGTTACCAGTAGAGATTGCCACTGCACAGACTCTGGCTCCAAATTATGTCACCAGAGCAAGATGGCAGTGGCTGCATCCAGGATATTTTGGCTTTATTTTTGTACAGTTGGAGCAAGTGGAGACACATCATCCATCTTTATATACAGTCTATGGTTGTGAGCTACATTCGGACTGAAACCTTGCTATAGGCTTTATGCACAAGTCTGACAGTTTGCACTGCAACTAAAACACAAAGGTCAGGGGCCTCATTTATAAAACAGTGTGTTGGATCCATACTTGTCGGTGAAGATTCTCAGTCATCCAGGTCATGGTAATCATAAGTGCTATATCGTAGGCAACTGGACTTGCTTGCGTTTCTTGAAGATGTTTCACCTCTCATCCAAGGAGCTTCTTAAGTTCTAAACGACTGGTACGAAGTTGCAGGCTTTAAACCCTGTGTGGGTGTGAACCCTTGCAGAGTCGTAGGGGTCACATGTGAGCTCTTAGTTTCAGAGTCGTTACGGTCACAATGTGAGTCGTTGACCCACCTGGCCACCATGTCGTCTGGGGAGGGATCCCAAGACTGCATTGTAGGTGGGGGATAAGTAATGTCGTAAGCCACCCCCTCTGTTTAACAATGGTCGTTCCAGCTTGACGTAGGCTTCTTTTACTCCTCTTTCAAACCATCTTTCCTCCCTGGCCAAGATGTGCACATGTATAAATCTGTGCATTCCTGGCTGCACTGAACTGCATACACTACATTACTCTGCTTATGTCTGGGTATTTTGTCCTTGGGGTGGACAAGTTTCTGTCTCAGTATGTTACTGGGTTTAAAGTGCACAGGGATGTGGTGTTTGTTGAAAATCCTGAGTTTCTCAGACACTCCTGCAACATAAGGAATGACAATGTTGTTACGTTTTTGTGTCTCTTCCTCTCTGTCTGCTCTGGGTCTTTTTGAGGTTTTTGCAAAGGCCCAGTCGGGATAGCCACAGGTTTGAAGAACTTCCCTGATTTGTTTCTGTTCCTTCACCTTCCCCTCTGTCCTGGTGGGCATGTTTTGATGCAACTTGTGCTCCAGTGGGTGGTGAGAGTCAAACAGCAGGTATTGGTCCGTGTGTGCAGGTTTTCTGTACACCTCTATGTTTAGGTTCCTGTCCTCTTCAGTGTGCACTGCACAGTCTAAGAAAGGTGGACTGTCTCCTCTGACATTCTCCCATGTGAATTTTAATGTTGGGGTCCACTGCGTTAATGTGTTCCGTGAAGGTTTTCACTTCCTCAGTTTTGATTTTGACCCAGGTGTCGTCCACATACCTGAACCAGTGGCTAGGAGCTGTTCCTGGAAAGGTGGTCAGCGCTCTCTTCTCCACATCTTCCATGTAAAGATTGGCCACTATAGGGGACACCTGTTGGATCCATACTAAAAAATTACGTGCATGGGCGTGGGTAGCTTGGTGGATATTGCCGGCACCCCATGTACAGAGGCAATGCCTTGCTGCAGCGGTCACGGGTTCGACTTTGGCTTGCAACCGTTTGCTGCATGTTGTCCCCCCACTCTCTCTCTCTCTCTCTCTCTCTCTCTCTCTCTCCCTATTTCACACTGTCCATTAAAGGCAAAAAGCCCCAAAAATTTATCTTTAAAAAAAAAAAAAAAGAGTATGTGCACACGAAAGTCTAAAATGGTGTGTGCCAACAAGGATTCCGATTTATATAATCATGCGCACACTCATCTGCAGGCAAGTGTTACATTTATAAATCACAGTCCCCTGTAAATGTGTGCACAGCCTTATATCCTGCCGTCTACACACCCACAAGTGGTACACGCAAAGCAACATTACACACAAGTGCCATTACATTATTCATATGCTTATAACGGTTTATGTTTATATCTTTATTTAGTTATTACAGCAATCAGACTTACAATCAGTTGTATCTTGAAATAATATGAAGTGAAATTAAAAGTGTAAGAGCCATCATTGTACATATGACCATTTGTGTCAGGTACTTCCCTTGTGTCCACAATGTTTGTACCCATTGGTCAGTTTCACTACAGGTGCACATATTCTCCTGCAAGTCTTTTATTTTTTTATAGATGACAGCTTTTGCATGGCAAGTGGCGTATGCCTCTTTCAGGCCATATTTTGTGCATATGCAGAAGTTATATATAAGGCTTTACAAAACGTAAAATAAAACTAACTCTCTTACTTACATAGCTCAAATCACAGATTTATTTCAGAGGGCCTTAGAAACTGAACACCATAAACCCTTTATGCCTAGATCCTAAATTCAGAAAAGGAATAATTTCACCCTCGCCCTCCCTGTACCCCCATGGGCTGTTTGCATGTGAGCTTGTGCAGGACAATGACTTCAGACAGGGAATGTAACAACAGAGCAGGTAGATGAAAGGAGAGATTGTTCATGGAGTGATATGCATCTTCAAATTCAAGATATTCCATCCATTGTTTTATGTTAGATAAAATATGAGAGCCATGCTTGCAGTACAGGGTCAGAGGTCAGGGAGAAATCTGATTACTGAGCTGCTGCATGCATATGCAGATGTACAGTAACCGGGTTACATGTAAACAGGTTCTCCGATTACCTTAGTAACCGACCTACTTATGGTCATGTAAACACACTGAATGACAGAGGATGGATCCCTCTACCAGGACGTCACTACGCACAGAAGCTTCTGTTTGTAGAGAGTAGACACGAGCCACAGCAGAAGAAGTACAATAGTAAGTGAATGTCAACTCTGTATAATATCAAGTAAGATAATTTTGAGTTTCAGGCTAAGTGTGAGAATACATTTTTTTATATATATATAATCGTGTCATTTTTTGTAATACTGGTGCAGCAATGTGCCTTATATCCGACTAGGACAATATCATAAACTTAAATGTAGAACTGTCCCGCTCTGAAGACTTAAACAGGTCACCAAAATGAAAGGAAGAGGACAAATATTTGCTGTTTTATCTTCATCTAGCACAATTTTAAAATGGCTCTGATTCTAGAAATAAGCAAATTAGTCTAATTTTCTTTAAAAGGTGTATATTAGTATGACAGCCTTTGACTTCTCAGACTTGTTTCTTCTTAGCTCTACCTGAAAATTTGATTACTATTTACAACTTAAAACTAGTTTACTAATCTACTACAACAACTTCTTGAAAAGATGATTTGTCAAGTAACATTAAATCAGCCTCAATCAAGAAAAGTCACCCTAAAATTGGAAGCTTGAGGAAAAGAAAGAGTATTTTCTTGTCCAGATCAGGAGGAGTGTGGGAATCTGACATAAAGTTTATAAAAGTGTTCTGAAAAAAGATTAGAGTGAAATGGCCCAGATCAGTATTTCTCAAGCTACTCTTCAAGGCTGCTGGTTTTTCCTTTCATCCCGCTGCGCTACTGCCACAGATCTTTTCCCTGCCCTCAGTCAGCTTTAAACCAGTTACTGGTCTTCATGGTCAGAAGTTTAGCTCTCTCTGTAACTGGGTCATTCCTGATCTCCAAACCTGAAAATGGAAGCTGACATTTGAGTGACATGAACATTTCAACAAATAAAAATTCCTGGGTTCCATGTTTGAAAAAGATTTTTTCATCTCCCCTGTAAATCCTCTCTGATGAGTAACATTTCTGTCATCAAGACCTCCCAGTCATGCCAGTCTTTGCTGAAGAGAGCAATTTGTCCCAATTGTGTGTTATGAATGGCCCTCCAGATTACCTGCAGTTAGTGAAAAAAATCTCTTAATGCCTCTTCAACAAGCTGCCAGTGTAACATTGATGGTTTAATTTGTGTTTCAAAACGTTAGCAGTCTGTCTGATAGACATCAGCCAAACCACATGCAAGTTTTTGCCAAATTAAATGAAACTGCTGATGATTTTGAGGCATGTGTGATCATACAGGGCTGGTGACTGCCTAATCTTCTCTTTAGCCATGTTTAGGCATCTTTAGGCATCTCCTTTCTTGAAGAAAATCTTGTCTTGGTTTGGTTTTACAAATGGAAGCAATGTTGGAGAGTCTGAATCGAAGTACAGTCAGGATTCTCATTTCCAGTAGACTTAAAATTCTAGATTTGCTCATCATGTCTTATTTTGGAGGACTGGCCAATGCCAGCACAAACATTTAATTATTTTTTTTTTACCCCCAAAACATTTATTTATTACCCTCCCACATATTTGCTCGTAGATCCACAAGTGAAAATTGTAACATTCAGTAGGAATGACCCGCATTACAGGATACCAAGAAAAATCTTAACCTATTTAAAAATAAGTCCAGCAAACAATATGCAAGTGTAGGCATATGTGATGTACAATAAATAAATACCTTGTCACAAAGTCAGGAATTGTAAATGGTGGCTCAAAAAAGTCCCTCTGCCAAATACTAACCCACTTGTCCTAATGTACCTCTTGGTAGTGATTTGCTGTTACATTGGCACTTGACCACTCTGAAAAAAACAGTGCATCCATCAGCAGTGACCTGTTAATGCTCTTACAGGTGTAAACTAACCAAATTATGTTGGTTGATTAATTAATCAATTAATCCCTCCTTCTAATATTATTGCATGTGTGTGACAGATCCAGGATCTGGCTATCCGCTGCATCCAGAAGAACATAAAGAAGAATCGTGGTGTTAAAGATTGGCCATGGTGGAAGCTCTTCACCACCGTCAGACCTCTGATAGAGGTGCAACTCACTGAGGAACAGATCCGCGGCAAGGACGTGAGCATATAGAAACACATACACACTCACACACTCACATACACATACACACGCACACAGACAAACATTCTGGTGGATATATGTTTATGGATTTATGGTGTAAATGATGCTGGGCTTTGACTTGTTAGAGGAAATAAAAGGCATATTTCTGGTGGAATGTAAGACTGGATTTTTGAAGGCTGATACAAACTCATAGGAGTCATCATATTTCATTTAATCAAAGAAAGGCACTCTTGCACTTCAGCCAAAAATAAAACTGGATCGGTGCTCACAGCACAGGACAAAATAGTAGACAATACATCAAGTGGGCCACTTCAAAAAATGACTGAACCCAAATGAAAAGAGGCTGGAGCACTCAATAAAATTGCAGAGCTTTTAATAAGGTGCAAACAGACTGACGTTTCGACGCTACTGCGTCTTCTTCTGAGTCAAATGAACGAGTTTTTTCAAACTTTTGTTTGACTCTGACGAAGACGCAGTAGCGTCAAAACAAAACCTTATTAAAAGCTCTGCAATTTTATCGAGTGCTCCAGCCTCCTTTCATTTGGGTTCAGTCATTTTTTGAAGTGGCCCACTTGATGTATTGTCTAATATTTCATTTAATGTCTGTGGTAGCCCTCTTTAAAGTTGGCCAAATCCATAACAAAATATCATTTAAAATTCTAAATAGGATGAAAATTTTTTGTCAACATCTGTTTTATCTGATAATAAAAAGTTTTCAATATGTTCAATTTCGCAATACAATGCTGTATCAATTTTTTCCCCCAACCCAAATATATTATATATCATATAAAAAAACACAATATAAACTAAGCACAAAAAGTAAGGAAAATTGTGTTTGGTAGATTATTTCTTTGTTGTAACAGTGCTTCTTGGCAACAAATCTTATACCGTTGAAAAGCTTGTTTATTTCCCTTTTAAATGGTGCCACATTTGCAAAGAACATGCATTTGTGGGATGAGCAGCAGAGCTGAGTATATGGGTTGCACCCATGAAAAATTTTCCATATCTTCTCTGCCAATGCCAAACACCTTTTTTTTGCTGTTGACTCTTGTTTGGTGGATTGGATGATTTAAGTCTGAAGAAACAAGACATATTGGCAATTTAACAATTTATTCATTTAACAAACAGGAGCCTCAGTAGCGTGTGGAAGAACCGTACACAGCTACAACAGCCTGGCACCTCCTCCTCCTCATGCTGGTCACCAGCCTGGTCACACACTGCTGTGGGATGGCATCCCATTCTTCAACCAGCATTTGTCGCAAGTCAGCCAACTTGGTGGTGTTGGTCACTCTGGCACGAACAGCACGCCCAAGCTGATCCCACAAGTGTTAAATGGGGTTGAGGTCAGGACTGTTGGCAGGCCATTCCATCCTCTCCACTCCCAAATTCTGGAGGTAGTCTCTGATAAACCCCGCTCTGTGGGGGCAAGCGTTGTCATATTGGAGGATAGAGTTAGGTCTCAGACTGTGGAGATATGGGATTGCCACTTGTTGCAGAATTACATCTCGATATCTCTCTGCATTGAGATTGCCTCCAATGACGACAAGCCTCGTTTTTCCAGTGAGGGAGATGCCACCCCACACCATCACACTGCCTCCACCAAAAGATGTTACTCTGTCGGTGCAGCAATCAGCAAAGTGGTTCTCCACACTTTGACCCTACAATCCAACTGCCATAGGCAGAATCTGGATTCATTGCTGAACATAATGTTCCTCCACATGTTCAGGTTCCAGTGCATGTGTTGCTGACACCAGCGCAAATGGGCCTGGCGGTGAAAGGCAGTCATGGCAGGCCTCCTGGCAGCCCTATGAGACTGGAGATTGGCTGCGTGCAGTCTGCTCCAGACTGTCTGGGCAGAGAGCCGTTGGCTATTTCGTCCTGCAAACCTTGACTGCATATCTGATGAAGACTGCCTACGGTTCCTAAGTGCTGACAGGATGAGGAAACGGACTTCTTGGGACGCCAACTACACAGCCTGTCTCTTACATCCCCCATTATATGGAACTTGGCCTTCAGTTTGCAGATGGTGCTACGACTCACTCCAAATAATGCTGCAACTTGGTTCTGCGGAACACCAGCTTGAAGTTGCCCTATTGCACAGGCCTTATCCAGATCAGTCAAACATGGCATGCTGATTCTTGGAGCAGACACCACCTGATCACTGCAGCAGGGCCCATGCTCACAGGTGCTGACAATCAGGTGCCTGATTGGACCTGGGGGTAACAGAAGCTCAAAACAAGTGTCAATAGCAACAGCAAAAAAACCTATTTGGCATTTGCAGAGCCTGTGGATATTCTCATTCACCCAGGTCATAGTTATCTCAAGGCAATTGAATCGAACGCAACTGGACTTGGTTTTGTCTTAGAAGACGTTTCACCTCTTATCCAAGAGGCTTCATCAGTTCATGCTTGTCTGACTAGGCTGGAACTAGTCTGACAAACTGGTGTGGAAGCACCTGGTATTTAACCTCTGGGGAGGTCTTCAAATATAAATACCTGGGTGCTTCCACACCAGTTTGTCAGACTAGTTCCAGCCTAGTCAGACAAGCATGAACTGATGAAGCCTCTTGGATAAGAGGTGAAACGTCTTCTAAGACAAAACCAAGTCCAGTTGCGTTCGATTCAATTGCCTTGAGATAACTATGACCTGGGTGAATGAGAATATCCACAGGCATGTTGCAGAACAATTTGGGGTTGACACCCTCAAAATGGTGCGGGAATATGAAAGGATGGCTCGAAAGATTGCAGATTACAGAAACCACCTACGGTTTAATCTGAGATGCAGACAAAACAGGCTAATACCAACAAGCCTACACCTACGTTCCACTATGAAAGGCTATAGAGTGGACAAGATCTTGGAAAAGGCACAAAACCAGCTATTAAATGAGAGAGTGAGACAGACCCATTTCACCACTGAAGGGCTGAAGGAGAAAGCGGACCACTTACTCCAAAAACTAACATCCCTCTTACCTGAGGCCGTCCTTGGAAAGATCATTGACTTCACAAATAAAGCACAACTATCTCAACACACCATGAGCTAAGAAAGACAAAAAAGGAAATTCAGTAACCTACAAATACGAAGCAACACTAACAAGACAGAAATCCTTACTTGGAGGCAAAAAACTGACAATCCCACACAAGATGAAACGCATGACAGATGGGTAAAGAACTTAACAGACAGGGAACTTACCCACCCAGAGAGAGGGGTCTTAGCCAAAGGACTGAACTTTGCCGTGACACCACAGCAATTACCTATAGTTGATCTGATCACAGCTACAGAATCAGCTATAAGGAAAAACAACTTGACAGAAACCGAAGCCGAGCAGCTTAGGTTAAAAGTGTCAGCAGCTCTGTCCAGTGCTAAGCCCCCACCCTCCAATCTCACTACTGAGGAAAGGAAAGCCGTGACATCCCTGAGCAAGGATCCAAACATTACCATCCTTCCAGCAGATAAAGGGAGATGTACAGTAGTTCTCAACACATCTGACTACCACAGCAAGGTCTCTACACTTCTCAGTGACACTAACACCTATGAATCGCTGAAACGAGACCCAACCAGTGGATACAAGAAAAAGACAATAGAATGCCTACAAAAACTACAGAAAGAGGGCACCATTGATCGCCTACAATATCACCGTCTGTACCCCCAAGATGCCATCCCGTGCATATATGGGCTCCCCAAGATTCACAAAGAAGGGCCCCCCCTCAGATCCATTGTCAACAGCATTAACTCGGTCATGTATAACATTGCCAAACATTTAGCCAACATCCTGGCTCCCTTGGTGGGCAATACGCCCCACCATATCCAGAACTCCATAGACTTTGTGAACAAAGTAAGAGGTTTAAAAATGGATCCAGATGATACCATGGTATCCTATGATGTGACTTCCCTGTTCACTTGCATTCCAACCATGGAGGCTTTGGAAACAGTCAGGCAACGGTTGATACATGACAACACCCTCCACGACAGAACCAAGCTCAGCCCAGACCAGATATGCCAACTACTGGAGCTCTGCCTGAGCACTACCTATTTCAAATACAATGGCAATTTTTACAGACAGAAACATGGCTGTGCCATGGGCTCACCGGTATCTCCCATTGTGGCTAACCTGTACATGGAGGATGTAGAATACAGAGCATTGAACTCCTTTGAGGGAACAGCACCGAGCCACTGGTTCAGATATGTGGATGACACATGGGTTAAAATCAAAACTCAAGAGGTACAAGCTTTCACTGAACACATCAATTCAGTGGACAGAAACATCAAGTTCACAAGAGAAGATGTTAAGGAGAATAGTTTGCCCTTCTTGGATTGTGACGTGCACATTACAGAGGACAGAGGCCTCCACATTGGGGTATACAGGAAACCCACTCACACAGACCAATACTTACTGTTCGATTCTCACCACCCACTGGAACACAAACTAGGTGTTATCAGGACCCTTCAACACAGAGCTGATAACGTACCTACCAGCACTCAGGCCCAAGGGAAAGAGCATGAACATCTGAGGGAGGCTCTAAAAACTTGTGGTTACCCCAGTTGGACCTTTGTGAAATCAGCAGCCTGTTCCAGAAAGAACAAGGTGGGTGAGGAAGAAAAGAACAAGCGCAATAACATTGTCATCCCCTATGTGTCTGGGGTATCTGAAAAACTCAGGAGGATTTTCAGCAAACACCACATCCCTGTGTATTTCAAACCCAGTAACACACTCAGACAAAGACTGGTACACCCAAAAGACCGTACACCACACACTCAGAAGAGCAACCTAGTGTACGCTGTCCAATGCAGTGAGGAATGCCCAGACTTGTACATTGGTGAAACAAAACAACCACTAAACAAACGCATGGCCCAACATAGAAGGGCTAACTCGTCAGGGCAAGACTCAGCTGTCTATCTACACCTCAAGGAGAAAGTACACTCCTTCGAAGACAGCAATGTGCACATTTTGGACAGGGAAGACCGATGGTTTGAAAGAGGTGTAAAAGAAGCCATCTATGTGAAATTGGAAAAGCCATCTCTCAATAGAGGAGGAGGTCTGCGACACCACCTATCCCCCACCTATAATGCTGTCCTTTCATCCTTGCCCAGGAGGCTTAACAACTTAACCTCTAAAAACAACGGTCGTTCACAAATGGCCTCATGTGACTCTAACGACTCCAGTGACAACCGTTGCAGCAGGAGTTTCAACGACTGTCGTTGACACACCATTGGAGCACTAACGAACCAGTGACATCATTGGCCTTGTGAAGACCTCCCCAGAGGTTAAATACCTGGGTGCTTCCACACCAGTTTGTCAGACTAGTTCCAGCCTAGTCAGACAAGCATGAACTGATGAAGCCTCTTGGATAAGAGGTGAAACGTCATCTAAGACAAAACCAAGTCCAGTTGCGTTCGATTACATTTGCAGAGAAGATTTGGCAAATTTTTCATGGGCCCAACCCACATACTCAGCTCTGCTGCTCATCCCACAAATGCATGTTCCTTACAAATGTGACACCATTTGAAAGGGAAATAAACAGGCTTTCCAATGATATAAGATGTATTGCCAAGAAGCATTGTTACAACAAAGAAATAATCTACCAAACACAAATTTCCTTACTTTTTGTGCTTAGTTTATATACATGATATATGAAACTGTGTAAAGTACAACCCTACAATTACACAAAAAATGAACAAAATGATGAGTATTATGAGTTTATATGCTGATTAATTCACTCCATCTGCTGTATCTTTACAAACATGTCTGTCTGTCTGTCTGTCATTAACACTGTCTGTATTCGCCTGTCAGGAAGAGATCCAGCAGCTGAAGCAGAAGCTGGAGAAGGTGGAGAAAGAAAGGAACGAGCTGAGACTCAACAGCGACCGCCTTGAGAGCCGGGTAAAAACACAGACACAGTCAGACACGTGTAGAGAGGAGGATTAAGGTCACGTCTGAGAATCATCTCAGAATGCTGAGAAAAAACACAAAAGTTAGACACATGACAGCTTTGCATACTGGCTTAACCATAGTTGGAGACATTATTGCCAAAGCATGCTGTTCAAGATTAATATTGTTAGTATAAAAATTGAGAATGTAAGAACACAACAAAGGCTAGACACATTGCACTACGTACAGCATGCTATACAGCGTACAGTATATAACAACCGTACTACACAAATAAACTGTGTATATATATATATGTATATATATATATATATATATATATATGATTGTGTAAAATAGAGTAAAAAAAGCAGCTTGTTGCTATCTCAAATCTTGTTTTTGCTGACCTAATGTAGTAGCACTAGTTTTCAGCCTGAGTGCTTCTCATTTGTCTTAAATGTCCAGTGTGTAGGATTTAGTGGCATCTGGCAGTGAGGCTGCAGAACTGAAACTTCTCCCATGTGCCAAATATGTAGGAGAACTACAGTGGCCAGCGCAAATATGCAAATGGTGTATGGTTTTCTGTTCTGGGCTACTGTAGAAACAACATGGTGGGCTCGATGGAAGAAGACTTGCTCTGTATGTAGGCATAAACAGTTCATTCTAAGGTCACGAAAACACAGTTTTTAATTTTAAGTTTAAAAGTTAAGTTTTTAATATTATATTACATTTGTACCAATATGTCCCTGTAAATCCTACATACTTACACATACATCACTTGTGTCTTTTCCTTGAGTACCTCCTAAGTGAGATGTGAGTGGGAAACACACTTTTAGAGAAATAAGACATCTTCAGCCTCAAAAGCACAGTCTCCTTTTATCTTGAGCCTAGAGGGAGGAACAACCAACAAACCCTGATCAGACATCAGATTTTGTAACGTAGGGCTGCAGTAGATCTCTGAGGTAGGCAAGTGTCTGACCATGTAGAACTGTATAAGTGATCACAAGAACCTTTAATTGGATTTTGAATTTGATGGTGAGCCAGTGAAGAGAAATTGAAATAGGTGTCACATGAGACCTTTTTGATACCTGGTAAAAAGCTTCACAGCAGCATTTTGGACCACTTGTAAGCTATCCAGGGATTTTCCACTCAGGCAGGTGAGAAGACAATTACTATAGCCATGACGGGATGACATAAAAGCGTAACTCATAATTTCCATCTCTGCAGGTGACACAATGGTCCTGAGTTTCATTGTGTTCCAGAGTCAGAGCCAAAACCTGGTCCATAGTGACACCTACATTTCATAGGGAGGATTTAACAGAAGAGGAAAGAGAACCCAGACCTTCCATTAACATGGGGACAAGACTGGGTGGAACAGTAACAGAAGATTCTGTTTTGTCAGCATTGTGCTGTAGGACATGATCTGACATAAAGTTTTTTGTAGAGGCGTTGAGGCAGTCATTTAAAACAGACAAATGTGCTACATTTTAAGACTTAAATGAAATGTATGGTTGAATATCATCTGCGTAGCAGGGATAGGAGATACCTTTAAAGAGTTTTATCTGTCCAAGGGGAAACATTTACAAGGCAAACAGATGCGGGCCAAAGACGGAACCATGGGGAACACCACATAACAGATTTTCAGATGCTGTATTTTTGAAGAGTTGTATTACACAGAGAAGGTGATATGCTGTCCAAATGTAGGTGGGTGCATGTTGCTACAACATCATCTGATGAATGATAAAAGTTGTTTTAACAATTAAAATCTAAACATGGTGATGGTGTCACACCTTAAAGTTGAATCTGTTGTTTGTCCCACTTTAAAACTGTAGTGATCAGAGCCGTCCAGTCAGCTGCAGCATCCAGTCACTGACGGATTTCTACTACAGGGGACTCTCAGTCCAATAATAGACTTCTGTAAAAAAAAAAAAAAAAATCTGCTAAGGATGGTCTCCTGTATCATTGCTCAAGCCTTGAGGCATAATGGCGGACAAGATTAATTTTCTGGTCATCCAGGAAGTGAGGAAACATGTAAAAAGGCAAATGACAAGCACCCCCAGTGTTCACTTACTATGAAAATGGAATGTAATTCTAATGGGGAGAGCCACAGAGCAAAACTAATATGCCATGTGATATCCTCTACATATCCATCCATGGAAATATAGGTGTCTTTCCCCAATAAACATTCAACTAAGTTTTGGTTGAAGAGTGTGTTGATTTTGCTAAAGAACATAGTTCTTATGTGTTTTCTGTCATTTTCTGTCAATTTGTGACATAATAAATTGTCCAAACTGAACATATATACAGTATAAACATGCTTGACACTTGCTCTATGTGTGTGTGACTGTGTGTATGTATGTTTTTGTTTTGCATCAGATCACAGAGCTGTCGTCAGAGCTGGCTGATGAGCGGAACACTGGGGAGTCGGCCTCCCAGCTGCTGGAGACTGAGACTTCTGAGAGACTTCGCCTTGAGAAGGACATCAAGGACCTGCAGGTAGAGAGAGAGAGAGAGAGACACACACACACACACACACACGCACACACACACACACACAGAAGATAACAGGGGAACTGTTGTTAAATGACACAGTCATGTAATAAGAGAGTCTTGTTGTCTTCACGTACTGCACCATTAAATGGCTGCAGTCTAACTCTTAAGTTTAGCTTTGATTAAAACTGTCGCACACCAGGGAACTAATGTGTCACTGTGTCCATTATAGCACTGACCCATTCCATCACTTGATGCTCTTTTCCGAGCAGAGTTCTATTAAGGCAAATGGAAATGGAGCTACTTTATTGTGATGGCAAATAGAGATGGATAACAGTTTATTGCCCAATTAGCCCTTTAGCAATAAGGTAATAAAGTTTTCTACAACACAGCCACATTCTCCAACTTCACCATGAAGTTTAATGTTAAGGCGCATTGTAAAATATAGTTAAATGTCTGCTCATTTGTATATAAATTTAACATTAGTACATCAGCTTGAATTATTAAAGAGCGGAACAGTTAGCCAGCACTGCCTTTGATCTTGTGGGATTTTTTAGTACAGTATATTATAAGGTTTCTAAAGGAGTACTGATGTTGTTGTTGGAACAAAAAGTCAACCAGATGGCGTTGGTAGAGGGAGACAAAGTGAAAATGGAAAGAAGTGGAATGATTTAAGAGGTGCTGGACTGGGGCATCGGTAGCGTAGTAGATAGTGCCGGCGCCCCATATACAAAGGCGAATCATCGCCGCAGCGGTCGCAGGTTAGACTCCGGCTTGTGACTCTCTCTGCATGTCATCCCCCCCACTCTCTCTCTCTCTCCCCATTTCACCTTGTCTCTGTCCATTAAAGGCAAAAAGCCGTAAAAATACATATATATGTGTGTGTGTGTGTATATATATATATTTTTTTTTTTTTAAAAAAGAGAGATTTATACAACATTATCATATGTCTATTAGTAACATTATGTCTATGTATGTAATTTTTAAAGGTCCAGTGTGTAAGATTTAGGGTGATTTAGTGGCATCAAGCCATGAAAATTGCAGATTGCAACCAGTTGAAACTTCTCCCGATTTGAATTCCTTCGGTGTTCATTGTTCAGGAGGTTTTTACTGGGAGCTGAATTAGCTGCAGGGGTCTGTTCTCTGCAAAACAAAGGGACCTGATGATTTATACCGCTAAAAACACTGAGTAAAGCAATTTCACGTTAAAAAAACGATTTAGGCTTCCCACTACAATGGCTGACATGAAAATGGGAAGGCACAAATGAGTCTGTCTAGAGCCAGTGTTTGGTATGTCTGTTCTGGGCTACTGTAGGAACATGACGGTGCAACATGGCGATCTAACAAGGACCTGCTCCCGATGTAGATAGAAATGGGTCATTCTAAGGTAACAAAAACACAATTCTCATTTTCAGGCAATTGTACACAAAAGAAAACATGTTTTTTTTTTTTTTTTAAGATTATTTTTTTGGCCTTTTATGCCTTTAATAGACAGGACAGTGTGAAATGGGGAGAGAGAGGGGATTACATGCAGCAAAGAGCCGCAGGCTGGGATTGAATCCACGGCTGCTGCAGCAAGGACGAAGAAGAAGAAGAAAGCATACTTTTATATTATATTCAATTTCTGCAAATATATTCCCTGCATACTGGACCTTTTAATAGCATTGTGTGTAAATGAATCACTTCCTGTATGATCTCACACAGGAACCAATATTCTTCTGTCACTTGTTAATTCATTGCTGTTTGTCCATACTGACACTAGATTACACACACACACACACACACACACACACACACACACACACACACATACACACGTATATACAGGAACTCACATTAATCAGTGTATTCCCATGTAGCAGATCAAATGATCCCCTTCAGGTGTGTGCAGCAGGAGAGCACAGCCTGTTGAGCTGTAAAACCTCCCTGTCTCAATATGTTTGTTTTTTTACCTATAACACAACAAAATTCCAGTTTGTATGTATGTGGCCTTTAATTTATTCAATATTGGAGAGTTCAAGCACAGAACATTCTCTTCTTCCCTGAGTCTTTCATTGTAGGAACAAATACACTTTTTCAAAGATTACTACGAATGTTATGCTTATAATACAGGGCAGGCTTTTTTTCACATGAGCAGTAGATTTTCCGACACGTGTATTTTTCACAAAGTAATTGTAGCTCAATCTTTGCAGATTTCTCTTTCTTTGTTTCCCTGGAAAAAATGTTTTTACAGGATGGTGCTGGAGTATTATTATAAGGTCACATTTACAATACTGTAAATAATGACATTTGTACTGTTTTTGCCAGAGTAGGTACATAAAGTTACATAATAATTCTGAGACACCCTTGAACTTGTGGGGTATTTTGTACCATATTTACATCTTATAAACACTTGGATTCTTCTGAAATTGTGTTGACATTCGTTCATATCCACGTCAGACCTCTAAAATGCATTTTTTAATATGCCATTTTATTGTGAGGCACAGTGCTCACATTGGCCTCATGTGAGAACAGTTTTGTACACTCTTGTTAAAAAAACAAAAAACATAACTATAAAAACTATTTGTGAACTCCTTATTTCAGCCTTTACAAGCCATCTGTTCATGAGCAGTGGTGCATTTGTGAGATTTGACCATTTGCATCAACAGCCCAAAATTGCCTTATAAGCCTATCTGCTCTGTTCTGTTTGTGAGCAAGTTTTCATTAATTCACAAAATGTTTTACCAAAGAGTAAAAAGAAGAATTTCAGACTGCTGAGCTTCAAGTCCTGTTGTTAAAAACCAGTAGACGAATATATATATCAAATTCAGCACCATGAGTACTGATACTAGAGAACCCAAAACAGTCAGAAAATGAATACAACTACAGCTGGAGCAGCACTGGACTGAAATGAAGAGGAAATGGTTTGAGGTTAGATGCTTAAAAGTGTCCTTCTTCATTTTTAACTGTCCTTCCCTGGTTAATATGAGGGAATGTCAAGGGGACATGAGAATCTTGGAAATATTAATCGAAAGAATATTGTGGCCTACAGTGCATTGTAAGTTATTTGTTCGTTTTTCCTTCTCTCCATACTGGCTGTAAAGTGATTCAGTTTATAGAGCTATAGATACATTGTCAGTAATGGTCCTCATACAGTGCAAAACATCCTTTTAGTGAAGTTCAGCTGAAGTTAATATGAAGCTAATATTGAACCCTTTCTTCAAAAAAGGGTTCTTCAGAAGCAAATGGTTCTGGGTAGAACCTCACCCCTTCAGGAAGAACCCTTTTGGAACTCTTATTTCTTCGAGTGTAGAAAGTGTTGGGAATGTTGTCTGGGACAAAATACCTGCAATAAAATTACACACAATTAAAAAAAATACAAAACCTCGATTTGTCTATCTCCAGCCTCAATTTGTAGCGTTGTATTAGCTTCAGCTGAACTTTGGAACATACTTTAGCAGAGGACTGTTGGGTTCACTCCCCATATTTTACAGTGCAATCACAAGCACTTTGAAGGGATCACTTCACAGCCATGTTGGAGAGGAGGAATGATTACAGTAACCATTAGCACTTTCAACAAACTGTATACAGTATCTGGCATGCAGTTGTAGTATTAAGATAGACTTAAAAGAAATCTTAGCATAAGTTTGAACCTTAATATCATTCAAAACATAATCTGCCAAAACAGCGGATCAGCCAGTGCTGCACTGACACCTGCAACAGTGCAGTGCATCATGCAGTCATTCTGACATGGACACAAGCTGTCTATAAGCCGCTCCCTGTTTTTCAGCTATCCACCAGCTTTCTCTTCTCTTGCTCCCTCACACACACACACACACACACACACACACACAGCCAGAGCCAGAGCCAGAGCCAGGACTGTAATTGTGAAATCATATTGTCAGGCCATTTCTCCAGCACTGCCCTCCCCCAGCTTCCTCCATCCATTTAGTTCACAATTTGACATTTTTGACATGATTTCTTTCTCTGTTTTTATTGGGGGATGTTGGGATAGATTTTTTCCTGTGACTGCTCAGATAGCCATTGGGAGGGGCTGCCTCCAAATGGCCAGGCTTATAGAAATGTGGGATGGATTTATTTTCTTCTTGTGAGTGAGGAAGAGGCACAAGGGGGCAATGTGGGAATCCACACAGAGGGAAAGGTTCATTGCATGTTGGGAATGTTTGCAGTGGAATGGACCAGTGCCATTTTTGGATTAATCTATACAGTAAAGTATCGTGTTGAGAGAAACATCTAATGTAATAAATGACACAACTACCGAAGTTGAAGAGACATATAAACCGATCAGCCAAAATATTAAAACCACTGTCAAGTGAATAACATTGATAATCTTGTAACAGTTGAATGTTCTGCTGAGAAACCTTATGTCCTGGTATTCATGTGGATGCCACCTGACATGCTTCACCAACCCAAACACCTCATGGCAAGGGCACTCCCTGATGACGGTGTCCCCCCAGCAGGACAATACACCATGCCATACCATAAACATTGTTCAGGAATGACCCGAGGAACGTGACAAAGAGCCAGTACCCCAGAGATACACACTGAAGGTCACGAGTAGCATCAGCACGTTATGACAGGACTTAGTGTGATCTTAGTTTTTTAACAACTACCAAAACTTCCCTCCATGGGCCCCTGAGAATGTGGTCCTCTCTGTCTTTGTGATGTGCTTCTAGTTGGGCTCCAACACACGAAAACCTGTAGAATTCACAGGTTAATCCATGGAGAAAGATGTGTTAGAAACTGTTTTTTTTTTGTTTTGTTTTGTTTCTTTTGTGATCCACCAGGCCAAGTTTGACAACATGAAAAAGCAGATGGAGTCCATGGAGATGGAGGTGATGGAGGCTCGACTCATCAGGGCATCTGAACTCAATGGAGAGATGGAAGATGACGACACAGGTTAGACACACAGACAGCATGTGAACAGAATGACACACCCCACTACAGCAATGCTTACGAATCTGCCCAGACTTCTGATAGTCATGTTATGTTGCTTTAAAAACTCACTCATAAAAATGTTAACTGTCAGCCTTGTGCTAAAGCTGCTGGACACCCACGCAGGTGTTTGACTGATTAGATGTCTTCTCAGGACTGTGTGGGTGTGTACGGATCAAGTCTGAGTGGCAGTTCTGTGAGTTTTATCACATCTGTTGAGGTGGGACAACTTAAGCCTAAGTAGCTGTGTTACATATGACCCTGTAAACAGTTGTTCAGACTGGAAATAGAGCCACATTGCCTGAGAATTATTTCATTAATGTCGCAACGTTATCTGCCAGGAATGTTTGCTGGTATGTGGCATTTTGTTGTATTCCTGAGCTTATTTTGCTGGGGCCCTCTGCGTTTAGATCCCATTGTGCCAACCCAGTGGTGTCACTGAAATGAATGAGGAGGCTGCTGATGTCAATCTTAACACAGCCGTTTGTACTAATTGTAATTGCAATTGTTATGGTTATATTATATATTCATACTAAGAAACTGACACCATAATCCCCACATTTCCTGCCAGCTGAGAGAGTACATGGATTTGCGGTGTGAAATAAAAAATCGTGACGGCTGTAGAAACTACTCAGACAGCAGTGAAATAAAAAAAACTCAAAGTTGTGATAATCTTTTGAGGTTTTGCATGATGTTTGACAATGCACATCTTTTGTCATTTTCTAGTCATTGGTGGAAACATATATGCGGGGACATAGTTTCAATAAGGCAAGGTATTTTTGGGGGGCAGCCAAGGATACATACACGTGTGCGACGGCTTATATACATTCAATCAATCATTTATTTGTAACTTGGAATTATACAAGGAACTCCAGTGAAATGTGATCCCACCAGCTCCTTTAACGTGTACACTGTAATTTTGTCTTTTTTTGCATTTTCTTGCATTGTTGGCTGCTGCTTTATAATTGTCCATGTTTCCGGATGGTTCTGGTAACCCATGGATTCTGGTTGTGGAATGATTTAATTGTCCACACATACTGACCCCAACTAGACCGCCATTCTGTTGCTCCTCCTGAACACTGGCAGCACCGCACAGTAGCCGCCTCTGAACGGTGTATAGCAGTGGTCCACAGCAGGAACAGTACACCTCACATTCCTACCGTCACACCAGTCCTTATTCACCGTAAAGCACAAGCCCCCTCTCCTGCTCTCACCAGAGTCCTCTGCTCTGTCAGATGGGCATGTAGAAAATGAGCCTTGTGGTTGAATGGCACTGTTCAGGATATAGCAAAGTTCCAGTAAATCAAAGGATGTTACAGTTTCCGATATTCTGTTGAAAACTGATGCTGCATAGGGGTTGCTCAGTTTGTTTACTAATGCCTGTACAGTGGCTAGCAGAGCACTAGTTCAGCTGGTGCTCATCTTCTTCATATTACTTCGATGTTTACTGATGTATACATTTGAAAACCTCTATCTAAGTAGCTAGAGGTCAACAGAAGGAGAGTTTACAGACTGGTGAGTTGATTTTCGTCATCTTGATGAGAAAGTTGCAGCCACCTGCCACCACCGTCCAGGTCCAACAACAAAAAGCACCACCATCACTTGTAAAATAGACATAAAAGCCTAAATTTAGCACGAATGTAGTGGAGCTGACAGAGAGGCAGCTGGAAGCGACTGCACCTACATCATGCAATATTTATGATTACGATAAAGAACTGGCAGATGTTGATTCACATTTTCTTCAGTTAAAGATCTGGTGTGTAGGATTTGAAAATAGAAAAGAATGGACAACAAACTTAACACTGGCTCTAGATGGCGCCATTAGCTTTTGGTAATGACAATTTTGAAACACAAGCAAATTAATGTAGTAAAAGTAGCAATGGTTATTGTTGCTCATTTGAAAAAAGTAAATAAATAAATAAATAAATCACATATCTAACCAAGGAGCAATACATAATGAAAAAACAAAAAGGAGCTATCAATGCACAGAAGCCTAACAAGTGGCATTATTATTAACTAATAACACACTCTACACACTCATCTCCCTCTCGCCCTGTCCCCTCTCTCCCCCACACACACCTCACCTCCTGGCGTTTTTCTTCAAGTGTTTGGGTAATACACAGGACAGTTTCATACAGTCTATGGCAGCAACAGTTGTTGGGATCTAAGCCTTAACACGGGCCTGACCTTGTAACAGATCTCCAATTAAAGTATCAAAATGGCTATGGGAAATAGTAAATTATTATTAATCCATCCATCCATTTTTGTAACCGCTTATCCTCTTGAGGGTCGCGGGGGGGCTGGAGCTGACATTGGGCGAGTGGCATGGTATACCCTGGACAGGTCGCCAGACTATCACAGGGCTGACACATAGTGACAGACAACTATTCACACCTACAGCCAATTTAGAGTCACCAATTAACCTAGTCCTCAGTCTGCATGTCTTTGGACTGTGGGAGGAAGCCGGAGTACCCGGAGAAAACCCACACTGTCAGAGCGAGAACATGCAAACTCTGCACAGAAGGGCTCCCTCCTGGGATCGAACTGGGAACCCTCTTGCTGTGAGGTGACAGTGCTAACCACCACACCACCGTTCTTAATTTACATGACATCACCTCATGGGGCACCATTCCAGAAAAGGGAAAAATGATAGCCAGTCAATGATATTAGTCTTATAAAGCTCAATAAACTATCAATTTGGAACTCTGATTGATAGTTTAATTAAAAACTATAACCAAAATGACCATATTAATAGTAACGGCTGAAGGATTTCAGAGTTCTTGACATAGCAGAGGTTGACTATTCATTCACTCTTATGCAATATTAAAGAGACAGCAGTTACGACTCCAAATAAATGTATTCATGAAGAAAACAAAGCAAAACAAAACACTGAAATTCTAACTAACTATAAACAAGCATGGTGTGTGTATATGTGTGTGGATGTGTGTCTATGAGAGAGAGAGAGAGAGAGAGAGAGAGAGAGAGAGAGAGAGAGAGAGAGAGCCTATAAAACAAAATGGCTTACAACAGAAACCTACAAGATGGCCAAATCACAGATGGCTTCAGACGGGGGAGGTTTTTTCTGACCTTGGTCAGGACAAACACAAAGGACCAGGAACTTTGAGTTCCCTCTCTTTGGGTGTAGTTATGTTGACAGACAATTCGTGAATGAGTATGTGTATGAGATATGTGTTACAAAGGGTCTTGGTTAGTACAGAGGATGTTTAGTTGCATGCAAGACTATGTCTGTGAACAAGCTTTAGCAGACTAACATCAGTTAGCTTTGGTGAAGCCAACCAACCAATAACTTAGCTGCAAACAATCGCAACAATAACTCGATAACAGCATTAGATCACAACTGACAAAAGTTAAACAGTCTTGCTTAGCCTGTACAACTGGAATAATGCCATGCCCACTTGTTACTAGTGTTGCACGGTATACCGGTACTAAAATAGTACCGCGGTACTAGAGTATTCCAAACGGTACTATACTGCATTTGGAAAATACCAGTACTTTTTAAATTGATTCAGTTCATTAATTTATTTGATTTATTTTATTCATTTATGCACGGAAACGCCTTCCTTGTTCCTACTGGAGCACATTTTGCGCAAATGGTGTGTATGACAACACCTGTATCAACATTCGGTGCTGGTGCACATGAAAAAAGACAAGAGAAAGTCTGCCTCGCAAAGGGAGATAATACGAGACATCACAAACTTGGTGAAACATTTGAGCAAAGAATTCAAAGATCGACAGGTGACGTGTTGACTAGTTCACTGCCCTGTTATGTCCATGAAAAGAATAGGCCTAGACTACAGAGTGATCCAAAAGCCTAGGAATATATTGGCTACATTACATTGCCGCGCTGAAACACAACATCCCCTTGCCAAAACAGAAATGAAGTGATGCACATAATCAGCCTGCCAGCGACTGGGAGCCTGGTAACGCGCGGTTTAATACAGCAAACATGTCAGCAGTATGGAGGCATTATATCCGAGAATGAACCTAAAACAGCAATTTGTAAACACTGTTTGGCAGAAATTTCTAGAGGGGGTAAGCTATGTGTGGAAAGACCGACAGCACTACAAGCTGAATCTATTGTCGAATCGACCATGTCTAGTCCGCAATTACAACTATACTGTAAAATAGTGAAATAAAAGACAAGCAATTACGTTCAAAACGTACACGGACCCATTATGATTTATTGTTTAGCTGTGATCTTGCACCCATCTCGTTCTTGTGAACACAATATCTCAAGAACAGCTTGAGGGAACTTCTTTAGATTTGGCACAAACTTTCACTTGGACTGAAAAATAAACTAATTAGAATTTTGTGGACAAAGGTCAAGGTCAGTTTGACCTCACAAAATATGTTTTTGGCCATAACTCCATAATTAATTTGCTAATATGACAAAACTCAACGTCATATATTGGTGACACTAATCTTGGGTGTCAACCTTGAAACTGTGCTAATTGTATAGAACCCTAACCCTGTGCTGTCAGGGGGAAGACTTGTGTGAAGCATCCATGTTTTCACAGACATGGATGTAAACTGTAGGAGAAACTTAACTGGTGTGTGGAGACATACAACTGTAGGGCAGTTATTCTCATTTTTTTTATTAAATGCTATTAACCTATTAAATAACCAGTTGAAAGTATTAAAAATGGCCAATTTCAAAGAACCTAACCTGACAACTTTCTCTGTCTGATCAGCAGTCCAAAACTGTAGATTTACAGCAATAAATAACACATAAAAGCAGCAAATGGAAAAGTTGGAAGTAGAGAACGTTTGACAGTCTAACTTAAAAATTACAATTGATTTTCAAAGTTGTTGTTCGTTATTTTCTACCAATCAACTAATTGATCATTTTCTTCACTAAATCAAATACAACACAGCAAACTTCAGCCTAAGAAACAACCAGAGATTAACCAACGCAAATCATAAAGAGGAAAAGTGGTCACAATCAGTGTTTTGATGACAGTAGGTTGATTTTGTGATCTGTTAATAGAAGCTCAACAAACAAGCACTGGTTTGAATGTAAATGTCTTGATACAAACTGTCCATGAACTGGTCATACACATACTCCCACACAGACCTTACAATAGCAGCAATTCACTCCCATACTGTTTTCTTCAGTGGAGGTGCAGGAACCATAGGGGTGGTGTGTGGTCGATGCTTTGACAAAAGCCCAGCAAAAATTCAATGTGAAGAAGTACATTAGAAATTGATCAGTTAAAAGTGAAAAAATAAGTAGGGATTGAGTTGCAGGCGCCCTGCAGGCCGGCTGCCAGCTGTCATTGTGTGCCATGCAGACTTTATGAATGTAGATTGATTTTTCGAAGTATGTTCATGTTGCATAGGTCTGAACAGCTTCAGTTGTTTGTACCATAGCAGAGCTTTGACAGCTTTCAGGTGAACTGGCACTGCAACACAGTCATGAAGGTATTCTTCATGTCAGACTCAAAGTACATTCAATATGTGTGGGTTGTGCCATACAAAGATACCTGAAAACAGTCTAGGTCTCACTGAAATGTGTCTGAAAGTATTGGAACTGACTTATTCAGTAAAGTAAAAGAATTTCATATAATGGATACGGTTTTAAACTGGCTGTAGGTGAGCATCTTAGTATCAAAACAAATATCAGTAGCTCATGGTCTTACTTCAGTTGAGCTTAATGATTCAATTTAATCAGTGGTTTTTATGGACTTACGTAGAGGCAGCAGTGGAATCCACAAATGGATGTACTCAGACATGATGAAAATTGTCAACATTTGGTTGTCCTGTCCTTTTGGAAAAATACATGTTATATGGGAGGTATGCAGCAAGTGTATGCATATTCAGATATGAAACAAAAAGATGAAACTGACTGATCATGCTGATGTGGCAGGAGGAGAGTGGAGGCTGAAGTATGAAAGAGCCATCAGGGAGATTGAATTCACCAAGAAGAGACTGCAGCAGGAGTTCGATGACAAGCTGGAGGTGGAGCAGCAGAACAAACGACAGCTGGAGAGGAGGGTGAGTGCACACTGATACACACCTTCCACTAGAAACCATTGTGTTCCATCTCTGATATGATGACGACCATGCAGCTTGACTCTCCATGTACTGTCAAATTCATTGATTTTAGGTAAGTATTTAAGAAACGAATGAAGTCAAAAGTTACAGCCCTTTATGGTGCGATATAAGGCTGTACCCAAATTAGACACCTCCAAGCTTCTTATTTAATTACAATTTAAATACTTTCAGTTATTTAAATTTATAGCAGGTAGTGATGGTGTGCTATTGATTTTCACTACACAATTATCACAAGGAACAGAAAGAAATGGATAGGATTTTTGAGGCCCTGTACAAGATATTATTATGTGTAATATTAACATGATGTCAGCATTTCCTTTTTTTAAATACAGCGCATATCGTCAATACTGGTATAACCCAACACCCCTAACAGACAAGCTAGAGTTAGTACAAAACTCAGGCTCACATCAACTCCAAAGTCCCTGAAAGACAATTCAAGTTTAAAATATCCATTATGTTACAGATCTAGTCAGGGTAGTAGGAGACTATCTTACTATCTGTGAAGATTTCAGTTCATATTATGTCATTCTTATCTAGTGATTATTGAGGGTTCAGGAACTATGTTGTCTAGATGAAGACTTAAAACACAATCCCATATTTTAAACAAATCAAAAACGAATCAAGGTAAGTTTTTGTTGGTTTATTTTTCAGTAACAAATCTAGTATTGCTATGGACGTGGAAACTTCACACATTCACGGCCAATGAAAGACAACAAAACTATAGACCAAATCACAATGTTTATATACAATAACTTCGGGTAGAAAATCCTACCATCACATACATAAAATCAGACAGTGTGAGCAAACTCTGCCTCAGTTAGTCTGTTTTTAGCCACCCAAACAAAGCCCACCACAATAAATATCAATTCGAGTGTACGCAATATTTATAATATTTTTTGCAACCTAACCTTACTATCAGACAGCCCTTTCCAACAGAGAATTGAAGCTGTTATATCAAAGCTACCAAGACTCCATTTACAAAAACAGTAATATCACTTAGCAAACACAGTTTCTGGTCTGCTTGATAAGTGGTAAGGTAAAGCAGAGCAAATATTCCAATAAAACATACACTTAAACTGATATGGATTTTTTTAGGTGGCTAAAATATGTTATGCTGCGGCATCCACAGCAGTACATCACACCAGCCGCCATGTTTGAGAGAGAAACAGAGGGGCATATCTCCAAGGCTGAAAATCAATATATTGCAGGCCACCACACATAAATGAAAGTTTGGGAAACCCTGTTTCCCAGATGATTAAATGAATGAATTAATTGATTAATAATAATTTTTTATTTTAACTTTCAGTCAAAATAGTGAATCTTTTCCAGTTCTGATTAGCTGCCTGTGTGTTTGTGCAGATCAGCGACCTGCAGGCTGACAACGAGGAGTCCCAGCGAAACATCCAGCAGCTGAAGAAAAAAACCCAACGACTGACCGCTGAACTGCAGGACACCAAACTTCACCTGGAGGGCCAACAGAGCCGCAACCACGACCTGGAGAAGAAGCAGAGAAAGTCAGTACAGCCCCCCACCCCCGCCCACACACACACACACACACACACACACACACACACACACAGTCATGTTGAGCAGGTGTCTGTAGATACAAGTGACTTCACACAGGTGTATTACCTTATTCTGCTGTGTTCCCACAGACTGTGAAGGGTCCAGTGGTGTTGCTGTAGTGACAGTAATAACTGTAAAGAAAAAAATATTGTGCTCCAGATTGTTTATAGCATCATGCTGTGCAGAGAGGACGCACAAATCTCTAGCTCATTTGTACTGCTGATAAACCGTGTGTGTGTGTGTGTGTGTGTGTGTGTGTGTGTATAGGGAGGGGGAGGGGGGTACTATCATGGGACATGCTCTGTAGCTGTATATGCATTGCTGAATATGCATGCTGTAGTTTAACATGTAGGATCTTCTCTCTGACCAGCTCAGCACATTTTTAATGATTACATTTTTCCATGAACTTTACTTTATGAATTTAGCTTCCTAAATGTCATCAACGTAGCAGTGGTTGTGGCTTCATTAGAGTGTTTAGTCAGTGTTAATCAGAGGAGTGTGTCAACATGTGTGTATGTGTTTTTTGGTGCAGGTTTGACAGTGAGTTGAGTGCAGCCCAGGAGGAGGTGCAGAGGGAGAGGAGCCTGAGGGAGAAATTGGCCCGAGAGAAAGACATGCTAAGCGGAGATGCCTTCAGCCTCCGACAGCAGCTGGAGGTTTGTTCCTGTGTGCTCCAGTTTGTGTCTGTGTGTTTGTGTTACCACAGCGTAATCGGGCCATTATAGAGGGATAAAGGGGGTGGTAATATTCTGGAAAAAAAACTCTGAATTTTCTGAGAAAGAATTTATAATTTTACTTCTACCAGAAAGTATGGTGATGTAGTAGAGAGTGCAGCCAGTCCATGTGGTGGATGCATGGATCAAGCACAGACATTTGCCCAGGAGACTGGGGTTCATGTCCTGTGCGGCTCAGTGTTTGCTTATGTATAAAAGTGCTGAATGCACTGTGTACCACTGTTCCCTCTAAGCTGTTTTACTGTGCAATTGCGCACTGCTCCTCACCTCTCTCAAATATCCCCGACCAGTTTTTTACTGTTTTTCTTTTTCTTTTTTCTTTTTTCTTTTTTTCTCATATGCACTGTCTTGTACGGAGTCTTGTGACTTGAACAGTAAATACTACTCCACTGTGGGCGTTTGTCTGTGCAATGAGTGACAGATGACAGTGAACTGTCAGTCAGTGATGATTAAAAAAACATGAACACCAGGCACTAGGGCTGCACGATTAATCGTAATAAAATCGTGATCTCGATTCATATGCATATGCGATCTAATTTTTTAATGACGGATGATTCTGCCGGTCCCGCCCGTGCCGGGAGTCGGGACATCATCTGCATGAAAACAAGCACTCAATACCACGTGATGCAGAGCGACAGCCGGCCGGCAGTTTGGAAAGCAGCGAGAGCAGGAGAGAGCCGACAATATGAGGAGGACCCCTTACAAGTCAGCCTCTCAGTCCTTAGCCGCTAACGTTAGCTCATGTACAACACAGGTACCACACAGAAACTTTTACAAAGGGTCATAATGTGCTTCTAGTGACTGTCAAATCGCCAGCGAAAGTTGTTTACAATGCGGACATGGAGAGCAGCAGTGCCTGCTCTCATGGGACAAAGATCCTCTGAGAAGAAAGATGGTTCACTCTGCTCTGCAGCCAGGCACAAACTGGGAGGCAAAGATCCTCTCTGAGGAAGAGGGTTCACTTTGCTGCAGGGTTCACCAAAATGTTTTTTTGTTTATTTCCTTTTAATAAATTGAACACACATTAAAGAACATACAAGATTCTGTAGAGAATTAATACATATAATACAATACAATAAACACTGTCAAATTAAATGAAGGAAGATGATTTTTTTTCAAAGGCAAATCAAATATTAGGGATTTATGTGAAAATATACATAGAGACATATAAATAATTATATAATTAAAGATATGTAGGCTATGTTAGGTGAATACTCCTGTCAAATGCATGGTGTTGAAACATTTAATTTTGATCTTCCTTAGTCCATTTAGACTTTATTTTATCATAACAATAACAATGAATATTATGAATTGTTCACATTTTAATTCAATTTTAATAACATTTATCACACAGCATTTTGTGGAAAAGTCAAATGTTCAGTTTACAGTTTTAATAAACTCATTACCGTTTTTCAACACATATATTGTTTTGTCTTCATTCAGTGTAATTAATACATATTGTTATTGCGCCATTGGTTTTGGCCTTGGTGCCCCACATTTTGGCCGTGATGCCCCAATAAATTTATTTATCAGAGGCCAAAGTGGCCTTGCCCTAAATGACTTAATTCCAGGCCTGGAATACCTACCTCAAAAAATGTTGTTCAACATTGATATTATTGTTAAAATTGTTCAAAAGCTGTAAGAGAAGACAAGAGACTAAAGTTTATTGTTTTTACGGTCAGTGTCAGGCTGTCAGCTGTTGCATTTAAGCTAAAAACAGGAGTGTTCCCTCTCTGCTGACCAGAGTTTATGTGCCTTGTGTCTCTTGTATCAGGCACAATCATAGGTTTTGTTATTTAATGATATTTTTTTTATTATTTATTTATAATTTTTGTTACTTGTCCCTTTGTATCAGGAAATAAGCACAATAAATCTTTATGTTGAAAAAAATCGTGAGAGAATCGTGATCTCAATTATAAGCCAAAAAAATCGTGATTCTCATTTTTTCCAGAATCGTGCAGCCCTACCAGACGCTGCCCAGCCAATACCTGCAATGGTTGTTTAGCTTGACAGCCAATCAATGGCATTATGTTGGGTATTCGCTGCTGTCATATTTGTTGTTAGCCATTAGCCATAGCATCGCAGCTATGGCTAAATGTGTGGGCTGTGGCGCTTCGTCCTCTGGAAATTTTAAGAAAAAAGGCGCATCATTTAAGGCTGTCGGAGTACGTACAGACAAGCGAACGCCACCGGTGAAACTTGGCGATATTTTTCTTTTTCAAGTGAGATTGGAGTTATTTGCAAGACGTGCAATGAAGCAAAAGTACAAGTATGTATGTTGTATGTATGTATGTATGTATGTATGCGCATACACTTACAACATAAACATGTTTATGTTGTAAGTGTGTGCGCATACATATACATACATACATACAACATACATATTTGTACTTTTTCTGCACTACCTGGCCAGGCCAGCAATATGTTTTGCCAGTAAAAACTTCATCCAGTACAGCACTGTCTGTAGTAGTAGCTCTGCTTCAATTTTTGTTTACAATGTATGTTTACATGCATTCATTGCACTGCCTGGCCACAAAAATTTTTTTTTTTTTTTTTTTTTGCCAGGAAAATGTTTTCATCTAGTACAGTGGCACTGTCTGTAGTAGTACAACTACAATTTAAGTTTACATTTAGTTTTTGATCTAGCATATTATATTTGTTGCAGTTTAGAGTGTGTACCTAAACTTGAGCAGAAGAGCTGCCTGTTGGTGTTGATGTCATATTTCAACATTGCTAGGACACCCAGGAGGGATGTCCAGCTGATGGCCAGGTAACATACGGACATTAGCACAACTTTCATTGTGGAACTATTCTTATACCATTATTACAGGGACATCTTGATTAGATGTTTAAATAATAGTCACTCAGCCTCTCAGTATGCTGGGGTTTCCTGTAAATTTTGACTTAAATCTCAGGGAATATTCAAGTTATTTTTCCGTAAAATAGTGAGGTTTTTCTCAGGAATTTACCACTTTAATCTCAGACAGTATCCATGTGTTTTTTTTTTTCCTCATAAATTTATGGCTTAATTTCTCAGAAATTCAGAGTTTGTTTTCCTGAATATTGCCCTCTCTCCTAACCCTATGTTTATTTATTTATTTTTTCAACCTACATGACCCTAATACGGCATCATAGATTTGTTGTGGTTATGGTAGGAATTTCCACTCTGTGGTGTCTATAAATTGTTTATTTTGATGGTTGGTAGTGACTCAAGTGGAACCACTCATAGATGTAACAGCCTAAAAAGGTGTAAAAGGTGTAGACGTGTTAAGGGGATTCTAGACTTTCCAGTAACTCTGTTCTGCTGCAACTGTAATTATATTGTCCTTTTTGCATTTTGAACCCATCACATAAGGTTCGGAAACTATATATGCGTACCAGTTCTCAAACATTATTGTATGATAAACTTAGAATTCAGACACTCAAATAAAATGTTTGTACTATAAATTTTGTGCCCTATATCAATAAGGGAGAGATTAGAACACAGTGATAGCCCTTATTAGTATATGAAGTTTGCTGAATTGTCCTGGACATGGATGTGTGGACATGTAAGCTCAGTAGCTGTTACGAGCTTGACTTTCCTCTACATAGCTTCCATGTCAACAGATATATCACTTGACAACCAAGCAAACTCCATCTAATGATACAGACTGTGTGCAAGGCTGATTTTGTGAAGAGCATGTCTGACTGACAAGATACAGAAAAAAAACTAGCAAGTAGGCTTTATGTTTGGATTGTTAGTTTTTCACACAACTACTATTTAAAGTCAGAAATATTCAAACTTTAACATGATTACTTTATTGATAACCAACAAGTTAAAACCAAAAGAAATTTACAATTTCATAAAATGAGGGAAAGGTAGCAAATTATCATGTTCATGTAGTTGGAATAAGATCATGTATGGAATTTGTGCTTAATAAATGCCATACATGATTAATTGTCAAAATGCTTATACCTTTTTGTAACAAAAAAATAAAAAAATAAAAAACTGAGGAATCATTTAATTGACTGGTCACTGCAACACTAATATCTGTTCTTATCATAAAATTAGCTATATACTGGCATGTAATAGTTAAAAACTTAACAGCACACAAGATCCAACAGGGTCTCTCAGCAACAGGGTCCAGACAGATTCAAATATGCACCCACAGACTGCTACAACTAAGGACATCTTCTTTCTTTTTTTTAAAGGCTCTCCACTAACTTTAAAATAGTTCATTCACATATTACATAATTGCTTTATTCAATATTCATTTCATGCCATAAGATTAATTTCACACACCGAAGCATCTGCATCGTAAAGTCTCTCATTGTATTTACTCTTTTTAATGAAATGTGTACACAAAAGATTAACTTACTAGAAACAAGATGAATATACATTTTAAGTAAACTTTGCCTTTAAAAACCCATATTTGTCCAGCCCCATACTGTTTGCTTGACTAGTTTGACAGGTCCACCTAGTGACACTGTATCACTCACCTAGCTCTGTCCTCCGTTAAGCTCAGTTGAACCCGGATGTTCCCAATACTCAACTTCAGTTTTACTTTAGTGGCTTCAAAGGTCAGTTTAGGAAAGTCATATTAGGATGACATTAGTCACAGTATCTATAGGTTAGCTGTCAGAGATCAGTCAGTCTGCCAAATCTATGTGTTAAAGATAAGGTACTTGTTATGTGATGAGTCAATGCCCAAAATACAGAGGGATCAATCTTAAAAATTATAACATGGGAAAAAAAACAAACAGATAAAATGCAAAATTGAACTAACCAGTATGGCATACATACATACATACATACATATATGACACACAATGGTGTTTGTGTTTGTGTTTATGTGTACACTTTGAAGCTAGTACCTGCTGAGCTGAGTAAATAATTGCTTATCATCACGTCACTGGGACACTGTCAGTCCCCGCCCATCTCCTCCTGTCTGTTCTGACCATAACATTCTGTCCTTCAGGACAAGGACCTGGAGGTGTGTGCAGTCAACCTGAAGGTGGACCAGCTGGAGGCCGAACTGCAGGACCTCAACTCGCAGGAATCCAAGGATGAGGCATCCCTGGCCAAGGTCTTCTTTCTTTTATTTTTTTTCCCCTTTTTTTCTTAGCCTTCTTCCTTTTGCTTTTATGATTCCTCTTTGTGTGTTGTTGTATTTATTGCTGATTTTTTTTCTTCTATAAAGATCTTTGTACTTAAACTATATACAGAACTTGCAAAATGCTTTCGGTCAATGCTACAGCAACTCTATCAGCACTGCAGTTAAGACATCCAGTCTGTCCTTCAATTCAATTAAAACCACCAGTAAAAAATATTTAATTGTTATCTGCCCATCCAAATAAATAGATTCTGTTTTAGGATTGGGCAATTTGGAGAAAATCAAATATCATGAAAGGTTTGACCAAATACCTTGATATCAGCATTGTGACAATGCAGTACATTTGACTATTGGTGTTTCACAAAATATTTACACAATTAGATTTATGATAAATAATCATCCGTAATGTGGATAATAATATAACAATCTGCTAAGTTCAGAAAATAATCATGATTATCATTTTACTGTAATGCAGCCTTTAAAACCAGGAAAAGACAACACATGATGTTAAGATATCCAAAATTGAAGACAGAGTCTAGTCTCATGTCACAATATTGATATATTGCTCAGGCTTACCTTCTATTACTGTTTCTGTATTGTATTTTATCACTCAGATGAGGAAGCAGCTTCGGGACATGGAGGCCAAGATGAAGGATCAGGAGGAGGAGCTGGACGAGCAGGCTGGCACCATCCAGATGTTGGAGCAGGTACAGACAAATCACAGTGCTCCCATCCATAGACTGTATAAACTTATGCTTATGCTGTGTCTCAAATCGCATACTTCTGTACTACTTACATTTAATATTTTGAGTGCATAAGTGCATAAGTATGGAAAATGCAGTGCACTGTGAGTACCTGGATGGTGCACTCAAAACGGTCAAGAAATTGAGTGTGGAACTATGGACACTTCTCGCCCTCAATGGTTGCCATCTTGGCTTCGTAGTGGAAGGGGAGGGACCACTTTTCAAACTGGAAATAGCGGCCGAGGACTGCACGACCGTGAACATCGCTGTATTGTGCAAATATATGTGTTTTTTGCATTAGCACCATTATACTATTGTCGGGTATAAGCCAGCAGTATGTTTATTGGGTTAATTTAGCAGTCTGTAATGATTTGTTACCACGAACGATAACGCAAATGCTTATGTTAGTTTGCTAACTAGCTAATTTGTGGTCATCATTTCCGGTGAGTGCACAACAGCCGTGTTTGGTTTGAGACAACACTACCATGTCAAAATTCACGCACTACGCCAATGAGTACATAGTGCACATAGTATACAGTACTACATAGAAGTGTACTAACGGAAGTATGTGATTTGAGACACACCAATAGTCTCCATGACGCCACCCGTAGGTTTCTGAAGAGCCTTTTTGAAGCTCAGTAGGAAGCTCTCAGCTGCACCATCTTGGCAGTGTCTGATTCTGCGTAACTCCTGGCTAATCCAAAAAAGGGCAAAGAGGTGGAGCACGAGTGGAGCTGAGTTTGGCAGAATGAAGCCTGGTTGCTGAAACATGACCACCTAGCTCAAAGCTACCAAGTTAGCTAAGGCTAAGAAGCTAGGCTATATGCTGCTATCGTAGACTATATAAAACTAGTTTAGTTTTGACTGAAATCACACAAAAAGACATATAAAAAATCAAGTCAAAAACATTAAATATAGTCTGTGCTAGAAAACATTATGCTACTTTGCACAATTCCTCCTGAAATGCAGGTGTAACCTTATGTAATAAAGTTCGGTAGGGAGTGTTTTCACAAGGAATAGGGGGCCTATAGGTACCTTAACATTAAACCCATTCAACCCATGTGCAAAGCTGAAGAATGACAACCACACCACGAAGTACAGAAGTATCAGTTTGTCTTTATTTCATAAATAACAGTATTTAAAACAAGTTCTGCTTGAGGTTGGCTAAGGCAGGGCAGGACTGGGCATCAGGGATGAAAGCTGGAGGCACCAACTAATGCACCAGTGAAGCAACTGAGGTGGAAGCCAGCTGACCGCCGTGGTACCGGGCCAGGAAGTGGTGGCAGCTGGCTCACTCTCTATAATGTTATTCCTCACCTTGCTAGCTTCAGTGAACAACCAGCCTACCTTGCCAAGACTGGAACAGCTCCCCTGTCTTGGCAACACTAAAATTCATGAATGGCACTACCACAACCAAACCCAGACAGAGTGAACAAGTGATTGGCTCTGCCTTGTAGCCTACGTAGTCGAGTCTAGCATTAACATTACATTGCATTAGTATGACCAGTTTAACATTGCACAACATCAGCTAACTAATGTGGTGGACCTTTATTTTACAACCACTCACCCTTTATTCTTTGGTGCTTGCTGGTTTAATTCTGTGACTAACATACGCTCCTAATGAGACCTAGATAATACTGCACGAGTTGTGTGAAACAGATGTTTTGATATAGTTTTGTGGTTGTTAAACATGGTCCCAATTCAATAAATCAATATGTTTGCCTTTTTCAGTGGAGGATTTCTGTTAAGTTGGACATTTTAACATGGGTCTACAGGGATTGACCAAGCACCATCTCCAAGGCTGAAAAGTCAAGCCAATGCAGAAGTGGAAAAATCGATCCCCACAGACCCCTATGTTAAAATGCCCAACTTTACAGCAGAAATAAACATGTTTACAGCCTGGTACAAAAAAAATAGTTTTGGTCTCTATAGCTAATTTTAACATTTATGAGAACTGCACCGGGGGTGAACTTTTTTATTTCTCACCTGTTTATATTTTGTTAAGGCCCAGAGTAACACATAATTAAAGGAGAAGTCCGGTATTTTGCACTTTGAGCCTCATTTCTGGGTTGTTTATGATGAAATAGAGTGGCTAAGACCAAAATAGTGACGATTGCTCATTTTCGGAGAATTTGGCTTTCCCCTGCCTGGCTTGAAGGGATAGTGCACCCAAAAATGAAAATTCAACCATTATCTACTCACCTTCATGCCGAGGGAGGCTCTGGTGAAGTTTTAGAGTCCTCACAACACTTGCAGAGATCCGAGGGGGGAGTGGGTAGCAGCACAACTGCACACCTAATGGCTGACGGCGCCCCAGATTAAAACGTCCAAGAACATAGAATTGAAACCACAAAATATCTTCATACTGCTCGTCCGTAGTAATCTAAGTGTCCTGAAGCCCTGACATAAAAAGTTGTTTGGAAAAACGTCATTTGAACTCTGTTTTTAGCCTCATTGTAGCCTGCAGCTCTAACTGCCTCTCTGTGGGCCGTGCTCACATGTGCGAGCTTGCGCGCGAGACCAGTGAAAGCACGTGAACACACATGAAGGAGGTGCCCATGTCTCACGGTCTCGCACAAGCACACATACGTCAGCACAGTGTACAGAGAGGTAGTTTCAATTCTGTGTTCTTGGACGTTTTAATCTGGGGCGCCGTCAGCCATTAGGTGAAGTTGTGCTGCTAACCACTCCCCCCTCGGATCTCCGCAAGTGTTGTGAGGACTCTGAAACTTCACCAGAGCCTCCCTCGGCATGAAGGTGAGTAGATAATGGCTGAATTTTCATTTTTGGGTGCACTATCCCTTTAACACTGTTGCCTATGGCCATGTGTGAGCTTGTCCTAAAACCACCTTAAACGTTCGTTTTCAAAGCCATGAAACTCACCGAGTGGTCAGTGGCGTTTGGTGATGTTCTGACATAAAAATAGTAGCAAACTGTGGTTTTCGTGATGATTTATTTGACATTTTGTCTACCCCATTGGTTTTCTATAGGAATCCTCATTGTCCGTTGGTAGTAATCTGCCACTGGAAAAGGAAAGGGGGTTGTAATGTTTACGACAAGGTTGTAGTCATTGTAGTCTTTTAGCTCAGCGAAAGTGCCGGCTCGACAGTGCTGTGTACGCTCCTGGAGGAAGAATGAGAACAAACGGCCATTCAGTGTACTGCAGTTTTTGGTATCTCCACGTGGGCGCCCCTTGTTCTCATCACAGGAAAATAATCAACCCAGTTTTAAAGCTGCGTTTGTTATTCTTTTACTAGTGGGCGGCAGAAGAACACAAAATAAACTGACAGACATCAAGTAGCCTTACTAGTAAACACCCAGCTGAGTATTTGCAAATCCAGCAGACAGCTTTAGTATTCATTTGGAGTTCTTTGTGTCCAACTGATAAATGTAAGTTCAATATTCACTCTCCTTCAGCTCTGCTCTGTCTCCACCAACTCCTGAAGGAAATATGTGTCTCTTTAGCTGCTAAAGGCTCCCCTGTGTTCACCAGCTAGACTCTGTATCTGTCTGCTGTTCACTGCAGAGCATGTATAGTACAGTGGCTTTATCAGAATTTGTTTGTTAAAAACCCTCAGCAGTGAGACTGTGCCGTAAAGGTGCTATATAACTAAAGCAATGAGCTAAAAGAGGCTAAAAAGCTCTGAAGAACTGAGACCAACTGCAGAGTTTCACATTTCACGTTTTAATGGTGTTATAAAAAAGCACTGATTATTGCATCTTCAAAGGAATGATTTAGCCCAAAGTGATGGTATACTGGTTATCTCATTGACTTGTGCCAGTTTTTAATCCCATCCACTCCCCATGGCCTCTATTTGATACCAAGCTGACACAGTCAGTGCAGTTTTTTCTCAATTTAACACACAAACACTAACAAAATGTCCCGTTAGTGCTGGAAATTCAACAATTACACCACTGTGCCGGGTGTGATCTGAGTGTGTTATGAATATTTTACTTGTACTTGTTTCCTTGAGTTCAGCCCTTGCCAGCTATTGTCAGCCCTGTCTCTTTATTTGAAGACATGGTAACTGAGAGAGGGCATACACCCTGTTGCTAAAATACAATGCAAACAAAATGAAGAATTGTAACAAATCATATACCGGACACTAATATTGTACTGAATCTATAATCATAGACAACTGGCAGAAGTTAGGCCACTATAGGCCGTTTCAAAATCTGAGTTCATTAGATACTGTTACTACTTCCTGTGTACTGCTGATAACAGTTATAATGACACAAATACAGGCCTAGTGTAATATTTCAAATTAATTTGAAAAATATGCTGTATTGAGCCCTATTTAAACTGTTTATAGCACATGGTCTAAAGTGCATGGTACATGTGCATTTAGGGTGTGTCCATCTCCACTTAGCTACTTTAATGGCAAATAATCTTGGTGCAAAGTAAAGCACAAGGGGCATTGGGCTTGCATTTAGTACCTCAATTAAATCGTAAGTGTGTTTTGGAAATAACACTCATCTGAGAGACATCTGCCCTTCCGTTTTATAGCCAGGTGTGCCTCCATGCAATAAGAGCAATAATGCCACTGCAGCAACTAACATGGGACATTTAAGCAGCAAAACTAAAAACTGTAGCGTAGTGAACTTGGCAGAGAAATCAGAAACTTTTCAGAATTGACGCTGCTTCTTGTGTGTAAATGCAGGTCTCTTCTATTGAATGTTAGTAAATCTGCGATTAGATTTGCACATAAAAAACCTTGGCACTAAAAACCTACTCTGGATTCATGAACGCTGCAGAAAACTCAGATTTGATCATCGGCAGGTGTGTATGTTACTGAATGCCAATCAGTTGTAAATTGACAGTGCGTTCCCTCTTGTCAGCAATTAGCGTACATCCCCACCCATGAATAGCCAGTGACCACCCTATAAGGAGGTGATAACTACCATGGATAGGTGCATTCTGTCGACCTATGAACACAGAGCAAACAAAGACACTGACATTGACACTGACATTGAAGTTATTTTAGGTGAAGTGGGGTTGAAAAAAACATTTTATTGTCTTCTGTTATCAGTTATGTGACAGGGACAGGTAAATCAAAGGCTTGGAAGGAGTTAACGGGTGCTTTTAATTCTGTGTCCTCTATTGTAAGAACCATCCAAAAAGTTAAATGAAAACGGTTTGACATGAAACTTGATGCAAAAAACACACAAGTACATGCACAAAAAAACACAACAGTGCAGGAAGCTCTTCACAGTCACAGCTCTCTGCTTGCATCATCAGAGAAACCTCCGTCAGTTTGCCCTAAGCCTTAGCATTGTTTGTCACTGTTGTGAAAACCACTATTAATACAGGCAGTCTAATGTTGGCAATAACCCACCATTAAGTTAAACAACAAATAAGATAGTCTGGACTAAAACCACACCATCTCCCTCCAACTCTGACAGATTTGAGTTCACCAGCTGTCTGGTGTGAGCGGAGACAGATGCCGAATTACTTTCACATGTCCACAAGTTTTATTAAACCAAAACTCAATTTGAAATAATGTTTACGTCCCCCACATTGCACCTCTGATAATTAAATTAAACAAAAATGACATGCAGTTTGGTGCTGTAGTATGCAGTGCGTAAAGACGGCAGAAGAGGAGCGCGTTGGTTTGTTATTTTATTTATTCAGAGGACACCGTTTTCCAGTTTTGTATTAAGTCAATTTGAATAACTCATTCACGTCTTTAAGAACTCTAATCTGAAGCTTAAATCTACCGAATGCCAACTAATTTAACCAGATATGTTACATTCTAATCTCTTGGCATGTTTAACTTAAATGTTTCAAAGGTATCTGTATTGTGAACACAACAGAGCGCAATATGAAATATAATTGTAATGTCTAATAATTAAGTAACATTTCTGTGCAATGTCTTATTTACACAAGCACTATGAACAGTCACAAGTAGGTGTACATTTTGTTAGTGCTACGAAAAGATCCGAGCTACTAACATATTGGTGAATGCTGAAATATACATAGATTTCCTTCTGCGAACAGTTTACACACAAATTCGTTCTGTTCACGTTTCATGAATGAGACCCAGCGTCTCTCTTAATGGGGAGCTCTGCAGCTCTGCTCTGAGTGTACTCGTGTTGTGAACACAACTATGTAGGTGCTTCTTACTATCTGAAATGAACTAATAGCAGGAAAATACTGTGCAGTTCTGAGTTAAGACCAGATTTTTGTTAATCAATAGATCAAATGCTTTCTGTTGCCTGAAAATAGCAATACAGCTACAACGCACCTGACCACATCTCATTTAAGACCTGTACACTCATGGGCACACAGATGGATGCAAGTTACACAATGTGGGTGCTGGCCATGAAAATGACAGCTGTGTCGGTCTGAAACTAGCATGACAGTTGCACTACATTGGTGCATACGTTGGTAGGTGTATTTTTTTTAACTTTAGACTTTGCCAGGCCAGCTGTTTCCTCCTGCTTTTAGTCTTTTTTCTATACTAGGCTAATCACATTCTTACTCCGTCTTTGTAATTTACACACAGACGTGAGATAGGTATCCAATCCCTGATGCTCTAAAACAAAGCAAGTAAAGATGTTTCCCAAAGCATCAGTTTCTTTCTGTACTTTAAAATTCTTAAAGTTGCAGAGGCCTTTCATGTTCATACAGAAGACAGACACATAGTAGACTTGGGATCCATTGGAAGTAAATTACCTCAGCCCCCCTGCTGTCACTGATATAGAAGGCAGCAAACTAGATATACTAATCACTTTATCCAGTGAATCACCATCTACAAGCTCGCTAAAAGGGGCTGTTGAAGAGTTTCTTACAGACATGTTCGGCGTCTTCTCTAAAAAAAAAAAAACTTGTCTAAGGTCCAGATGACAAGATAGTGGAATATGGAAGATGCACAAGCTGCACAGCAGTTAATAGTAAATAGAGACAGAATTTACATCTCTGGAAAGTTATCAAAGTGAACAGTAAAATTCTGAAAAGTTAAGCCTGGTAGAAGTATTTCACACAGTGACCCTGTGTTTTTCCTTGCTTAACCCTGTGTGTCAGCACCCCTGCTATGTCTCTTAAACTTTGCTGTGAGTCACCGGGCCTTCGGTCAAAACTTTGCCAGCTTAGAGACAGAATACAACCCGGATCTACCAAACTGCTAACAGCTCCACATTCACTGACAGTGTGACAGGACATGTACACATCATGTTCAACAATAACACATGATGGCTCCTACTAATTCAAACATTATCGAACTGTTCTTGTGTTTGGTTCCTGAAGAGTGAGGTAACTGGTAATACTACTGTCTGTATTCATGCTGTCAGTTTTGTCAGGTATTCTTAAATGATCTCCACTCTAACTGATGGAAGAAAAATGTTTTTAAGGAAGTATTTTTCCACGTCAGATTAGAGCCAGACAATATGATTTAAATTTTTACTGTGCTAATAATATTTCCCTGATAAGTACTGTACATACATCATGAGATACTGAACCACGTCTAAAATTATCAAATGTTTTCTCAAACCCAGTGTGAACTATTAAAATATCTGTAAAACAAAAACAAATAAGCACAAATATGATTTTATTATGCCTCAGCACTGGCGATAGCCGCGGCCAGCCATCCATCCCATCCTTTTGAACATGATATCTCGAGAACACCTCAAGGGAATTTCTTCAGATTTGGCACAATTGTTCACCTGGGCTCAATGATGAACTGATTAGATTTGGTGGTCAAAGGTCAAGGTCACTGTGACCTTGTTTGTCTCATTTTTGTGTATGTGATATCTCGAGAACACTGTGAGAAAATTTCTGTAAATTTGACGTAAATGTCCACTTGCACTGAGGAATAAACTGATTGGATTTGGTGGTTAAAGGTCAAAGTTCAAGGTCAGTGTGACTTCACAAAATATGTTCTTGGCCATAACCCAGGAATTCATATGCTAATGATCAAATCAAATCCAAAAGGTCAAAGGTGAAAGGTCAGATTCACTGTGACATCACAATGTTCTTCATAAAACACTTTTCTGGCCATTATTCAACATCATATCTCAGGAACAGAAGGGGAAATATTTGGTCAGACACTGAATTTATAGATCTTCTGTGTGGTTAAGGGGAACATGTGTGAAGTATCCATGTTTTCACAGACTTGGATGTAAACTGAAAGAGAGACTTGACTGGTGCATGGAGGCATACAGCCACAGCGCTGTAATTCTAGTTGTGACAATACCATTCAACAAACTAACATACATTATGTTGTATGGGTTTGAGGTGCTAGCAGTTTACATATGGACTAGCAGGTTGTCCTGGCTGGACAGCCATCAGCAGTCACCACAGCCTTAAATGAATTGTATTAAGTTATCCATAATGATCACCGTGTATACTTTGTTGTATAAATACCAGGGATGGGGGCAAAAACTGATACGGCAATATTTTGTGTGGCAATATTGCATTGATATATGGATGTCAAGTATCAGATTTTTTATAATTGAAACTATTAAGATTGCATATACATTTTTTTGTAAGTGTACTAGAATAATAAATCAATTACTTTTTCAGCCCACTGGATACTTTCTGCTGCAATAAAAATGACTGAAGTGAGACACTTTATTTTTTAAAACTTTATCTTATTAGATAAAGCAGATGCTGACAAAGTTTTCCGTTGGGAACAGAATTAACAGTTGAAAAAAAGGCAATAAAGTGCATCATAAGTCATCGGAATACTCAGTATATCGCAAAACATTTAAAATCGCACTAATATTGTATTGTGTGATAAATATATAAAATAAAAAAATCAGGCGGTTGTAGTGTGCTCCCAGACAGAGAAATCAAAAGCTTTCTCAGCCTAACTCCCTGTTGTTCTTCCACCATGGGAAGATGTCAGAGTTTATTAACAATACAGAGAACAACAGCAAGTACTGTGGACATGTCCATGCCTATGAATAATATATGGAAATAAGGTTGGAAATCAGCCCAGGGTTCCTTTTAGCCAGGTGAGAGCAGATTGGACAATGTTTGTGTTTTTCTTTCAGGCTAAGCTTCGTCTGGAGATGGAGATGGAGCGTTTACGTCAGACTCATTCCAAGGAGATCGAAAGCAAAGATGATGAGGTGGAGGAGATCAGGCAGTCCTGTAGCAAAAAGGTAAGAACATTCACTGTGTGTATGGTACATGCGCACATTTTAATATTGTTATTTAAGTTTGCAATCACGTAAGCATTTGTTCTGCAATTGTGATTTAATATGAGGGCTAAAGGTTGTGCTGTTAGGCACAGAAAAGTAATGCCTAGCAGTGAGAGAACAGATACAAAAGACAAAGAATAGTGCAGTATGTGAAATGCTGAATACAAAGTTACTTTTGGAGCTCTCTGTTCAAATACTTATTGAAGGGCAACTTACAAGGGGAAAAAAGAGAGTTGAAGTAGGAGAGGCCATGATGTCCTGACTTTAGTTTCTAGTATGGGTTAAGATCCAAAAACCTGCAATAATGTTTTTATCCTAGATTTAAGAACAACCAAAACAAGAATCATGTCATAATCACTACTCTGCTATGCTCACTTTTCTTTTCTTACACAAATACAATTATTTTTTAGTCACCTAAAAGTTCTACCTCGCTTGATGGCTATTAAGCTGCTGTCAGTTAAACTCAACACTTCCTGCACAGATATTTCACATAAAAAGCATTTTAGCAGGACAAAGGGCACCGTCCCTCTTATTCCTGTTAGCTTTTAATTTTAAACTTACACAGGAAATGTAGGGTTTGAGCTGTAGTTGGTAACCTTTATACTTTTTATCACATTTGCCAAAAGTGTAAGTATATTCACAAAGCAATGCCTTGTGGAGCTCCTATTATACTTACCATATGTGAATGAAAACAACCAATCAGAGCGAAGGAGTCTCTAGCGCAGCTGTCATTTTAGTGACTGTTTAGCTGTAAAATGAAAAAGTTGATCTGGCTGGTGCTTGGTACTTTGGTAAACTATATCCTAAATAGTGGCCCAGTCACAAACTATCACATTTTACAGCTAAGCAGTCACCCAAATATGTTTCTGAAAACATTTGAGGCAAGAAATAGGTGACACAGTATCAAAATCTTGATTCATTTTTGATCAGCACTGCCTAGTTTGACATTTGGCTGCAGTTCAAGAGCAGAAGAGCTGCGTAAGGGCCTTTGCACACCAAGTCAGTTTTTTCAGATGTGTTTTTCAAATCCGTCATCTGAAAAAAAATTGCAACACACAAAAACCTTGCACTCTGAGTCAGATGCATTTTCTTTTTGTTCTATAGGTTGTGAAAATTCGCAATATGAGACAAAATAAAAACACACATTCCCTCCCTTGCTTCTCTCTGCTGGTGTTTTTTATCTGTCACCACTGTCTCTCCCCAAGTCTTGCATATGGCACCATAGCTGCATGAAGGGAGAGAGCTGTCCTTCTGATCTGTCTCCAGTGTCTCTCTCTCTCTCTGTCTGTGTACAGTCCACATCCTCCTCCTTGTCATCATCATCATCCACCTGAATATTACTGTCTGAACATGAGCTATCTGAGTTACAAAAGGACAATGTGCGACCATTTCCTAGCCTTGTCTTGGATGTATCCCGCTGCCACATTTTCTTCACTGATTCTTGGTCAAACATTTCTTTAAAGGCTTATGACGGATGCGAAAAATGCAGAAAATCGAACCTGTTCCGAAAACTTTGATAATGGACGAAAGTTTCAGAGTCAGCGTGCAAATGTGATTGACACAACTTGAAGTCATATTTATTTTAAGAACAAAAAAAACCTGACTCAGTGTACAAAGGCCTTTAATGACTCCTTCACTCTGATTGGCTGTTATTTTTTTTTGTTTTTTGGTGTGCCATGGTCGATTCTATCAAGTGACATTAGAAGCAGTAGGAACAGGAGGAGGGATGTGATTTTTTTTTTTTTTTTTTTTTTTACAGACTATCAGTCTAATGTACTTTCAGAATATACTGACAGTCTCAGGAAATATGACATAAACTTGTTTTCTTTGAAGTTACCAGCTGTAGGTTTCAGTGCCAGTAGCTCAACAGTAATAACAACTGAAGGGGAACAATAGGAAACAATGAGTGAATTAAAACAGCAGAAGTGTTGAAAAAGGGGAAACTTTGAGCAGCAGACTGGTTTGTACCACATGTTGTCTTGTTATACCGATGAATTAGTGCTGTGGAAATGTTTTTTATGCAGAATTTACAGTGAGCCATTATAGCACAGGTAGTACAGCATTCACAGAATTCCCAACTGTATTTCTAATTGCATTTGTTAGATTAAAATGATTAATTAGATGTAAATGATTTGACCTTTTCCTGAGTCACATTCATTCATATGTCAGCATAATAGCTTCCATTTGTGGCTTAACTGCCACATGATACCTACACAGTGGAGTAAAATGTTTGTGTGTTGGTATGAGTGAGTGACTGAGTGGTTTGCTGTTGGAATCTGTGTGCATCTTTACTTTAGATGCCAATACTGCTGTTGATGCTTTTTTGTATTTGTTTTGCTGTGCCTGTGCTAACTGCCCCATCCCTGCCATCCACCAGTCGAGCCCTCATTAGCCCACGCATAATTAGCTTTTACTACACTTGCACAAGCTGGAGTGCTGCCTCTACACTGTGTGACAGAGACATTTACATGGTGACGTAGTATTTGATGATGGATTATGCTGTACAAATACAAACAGCGCTATGGTGTTGTCTGTGTAAATTGTACATTTTAGGTCAGGCCAATGCCTCAACAAGAACCTTGCTCATTATGCATCCAGAGTACATGAACATGCAGGCTACTGTAGACTGGACAGTGTTAGATCTCTTATGTTTTTACAAACAATGTCATAATAAGATCTGCTATCTACTACTATGAGATTTTTTATTCAGCAACCATGGTCAATGTGCCCTACTATCTGTCCAGCGTAATTGAAGTATCGCCACAATAGTTCCATTGATTTCCATGAAATGTGGTACGAACATTGTTGGATCCTAGAGGATGAATCCTACTGACATTATGATACTCTGACTTTTCCGCTAGAGCTGCTCGCAGGTCAACATTTTCAATTATCCTGTAAAATATTTCAACATCTACTTGATGGAGTGGCACAAAATGTTTACAGATATTATTGCAGCTTATCCTGTGGGGAACAAAACATCTGTTCTCCTCAGCGGTTCATATAGTGCCATCATCAGGTCAAGATTTCAGTTTGTTCAGTACTTTGGTTTATGATCAAATCCCTGCAGAACCAATGACATTCCCATCAGCCTCAGCTGGACTTTGTGCTCAGTGCTTAGCAAATAATAGCTTGCTAAGACAGGTGGTGGCCATGCTACACATCAGTATTACAGTAAGTACTTCTTCACAAAGCTAGCAGCATGGCTGTAGACTTTTAGGTTTTGTCATTCTATTACTCGCCACTACTAGTAAGGCTCTTAAGAATCCCAAACCATCAGTGAGTTGTAAATGCTCTCAGACATCTTTATTGTTGTGTCATGAAAGCAACAGTGGAGCCTTAAGGAGCAGTAACAGGACTTTTGAGGGCTGTAGACCTAATTAATAATGTTATTAAATAAATTGTCATAGGTCATCAGCCCTCTGCCATACTGTATGTGCCCTACTTGAAGTGCGCCTGTTTGATCAGATAGAACTATGAATTCACTCTTCATTCTTCATATTTTTGTGCGTATCTAGCTGAAGCAGATGGAAGTCCAGCTTGAAGAAGAATACGATGAGAAGCAGAAGGTGTTGAAAGAGAAGAGAGAGCTGGAGTCAAAGCTTCTGTCTGCACAGGACAAGGTAACTCCACTGTGTTCCTGTTGAAACCAATGACTGTATATAAAGTGTACTGTATATAAAGGCACAGATACACAAAACCGGCATCAAAGAACAAGTGGCGACAAAGGCCGACGATAGCATCATCTAAAGAAATCTGTGTCTCAGCCAAAAAGTTGCACTTGAACTCATTACAAAGACTACAGCCAGTGGCCAATTAGGAATTAACCAATTAGGAAATAACTCTCCATACCAGCAGGCAGCGATATTCTGTACTCATCATTCAAAAAGGGAAATCAGAAGACCGACAAGACAGTACAAATTATATGTACCATGCACTAGCAAACAGTAACGCAAACAATTACAAATTGTTTCTGCTGAAGAACTCAGTGGCTTTGTTTTTATTTCACACCTTCTTGACATTAGCTGTTTATTTGCTCTGCTTGCAAATTCTCCTCTCCCCCACTGAACTGAGCTGCTGGTCAGAGTGATATCATTCACCAACGGGCTCCACTGTCTCCAACGCCAATTCAACATGCTGAGTCAGCTGAATAAAGCTGACAAGGGCTGACTAGTTTTAATTGTGCAGGACAAACTGCAAAAACTAGGGCAAGAGAGGCTCACCATTGGCCCAACAGTGACTGACAGCTGACTGTCTGTCAGGACCCTAAAGCCCAGTTCAGACTAAAGATTTGCAACGAGATGAAACCATTTTAGAACGCTGCAGAGAAAAGCTGCAGTAGTGTGAACAGACCAGTCGGAGCTTGACACAAGATGGCTGATGGTGTCAAATTTCTTGCAGCTTGTTTTAGAACATAAAGCACGTCACCTGTCTCTACAGCCAATTGGCTTGTAGTCAACTGGTCGAGTCAAAATGACGGCAAACAACGTGTTTGCTCACCGAGGCAGGTGCTCCGTCCCTGGCGAGCCCTCTCTTTCCATCCTCACGGTGTGCTGGTGTCGGACGGTGAGTTGCTGCTGGCTGTATGTTCTTCCCTCTAGATGGTGAAATCTGGGGAAGTCAGTCACCCCAGACTTTCCAACATCTTCCAACAGGACTTAGTTTGTGCATCAGTTTAATTCATCTGCGTATTCAAAGCACTTCCAGTGCACATTTGGTTTGTGCATGTCTTATTAGTAACAGGATCTCAGTAGTGTTATTTGTTGTAAAACTAGAGCACTACTGCCATAGAGGTGTGTGGGTGGAGATGTTGGCATTTTATGTAATTGAATTGAGTCATTTAAGCTGACTGAAATATTTAACTGATATTTGCCGGCTGCCATTACAGAGCCATCAGCATTGATAAAGATCAGACTAATGTTTAAGTTGACATTCAGGGAACAGAGGAGAAGTGTGGCCTGTTGCAACCAAACTGGTCCAAATAAATGAATATAAAACATAGGTGTCCTTTGTGATCACAGCCTATAGAATATTAAGTTTCTGATCATTTCGGACCCATCCGTGGACTTCCCAAGTGGAGTTTTCTTGTACTGATATCTCCCAACATGAAGATCTTTTTAGTCCCAAGACTTCATCAACAGAATTTTTTTCACTTTTTGTTACGTACAGACTGATCAGAAAAGGTCACCTCACTAGGGATGTCCAGATCACATTTTTTTTGCATCCGATCCGATACCGAGTCCTTTATTTTGAAACCGAGTCTGATACTGAGTCCAATCTGATACTTTCCAAAGCATTAAGGAAGAAAAAAAAAGAATGCATCCAAGTTGTCCCATAAGGTTTGTTTTTATTTAAATAGTATCCAAAAAGCTTATCGGTGGTTCAGCAACACAAAATATAAACAAATTCTGAATTGTAAACAAATTGTCCTTCCAGAGTTGCCGTAGGGCTGTGGTAGACAAGGTTCCGCCGTTAGGTGTGGCTGTGTTGCTCGGAATAAAGAGAGAAGCAGTGGCCACTGAACCTGTTGTCTCGACTCCTATCCGTTTATTGCTCATTAGCTGCATGAACCCTAGGCGAACCCAGGACACTCGGTTACAATACATTGGAAAGCGGAAGCAACAATAAACAACATAGATAAAAAACCTGACCATTTGATTCCTCTGATCTTTTATTACCGATTCCGATTTTGTAGAAATAACGTGATCGGTAGATTTTTTTCTACAGCTGCAGCAACTATGCAGAAATTCAGTGTTTGACCTTGAGTCAAGATTATTTTGTCCAACTATGATATTATTTTTTTTCAAGTATGAGAGGGGAGTCTCCAGATCATTTTATTTTTTATTTCCAGATAAATTCACAGACTCACTTTTATTCAAGCAGACAGTCATCTAAACCTTTCAAACATCTTTAACACTGTGAATAGAGGTATTAAATAAGCCCTTTTTTATACGCACACCAATGTTCAATATGTCAGTTAATGTTTACTGATGCTGTTTAAGGTTTGTTTAACAATATTAACACAATGAAGCAATCCTGTATTTTTTAATATTGGTGGGTTGACAGAATCATACAGTAATGCTTTTCCATTTAGATTGTATCTTCATCTATAAGCCAAACTCTTATATTGTTTGTGTGAACTAAACTCAAATGTATGTAGTACAAAATGTAAGGATCGGGCCTTTAAATGGTCAAATTGATTGAGTTTATGATTAGTCCCTGATGTGTCAGTTGAGTCACCAAACCTAACTGTGCCTGTGTCCTAGGTGAGAAGTGGTGACATAGAGACTGAAAAGCGTTTGAGGAAGGACCTGAAGAGAACCAAGGCTCTGCTGGCTGACGCTCAGATCATGTTGGACCACATAAAGAACAACGCACCCAGCAAGAGGGAGATCGCCCAGCTCAAAAACCAGGTATAAAAGAAACATGGACATACATACTTAAACATACAGGCTTAACTCATACACGATTGCTACTTAGTGTATGGTGTTTTATTCAACAGTAATCATGTGTCATGTCTAAGATACTGTAGACCTGTCAGCAGATCTGCAGCTCAGCAACATCCTGTCAGCAGCTGCTGGTTCTTTCTCTGCACAGAGTATTTGATTTTAACTCCTTATCTCCACAGGTTGATAGTGGGCTAGTTACTGTTGTGTACTCACCAGAGGACCCTGAGATTCAATTTGAACAAAACAAACAAACAAAATTATACAAACAAAATTAATAGTAGAAAAGCTGCCAGGATGCAAAAAACAAAAAAATGTGTCAGGATTGGACTGTGTGTCCCTTTTTTTCAAATAGCCAATAATTTACTAATTTGATTATTTAAAGTGAAGCAATAAGCTCATTTTTCTGCACCATTAATTGGCTAAGGCTACATTCAGCAGCTTAGTAAACATTTAGCTTAGGGTAAAGTATGCACTTACATCAGGATATTTGATTAGAAAACGGCATGTTTATCCTTTAAACTTACTGGATTTTTCATACTGACCCAGCAGTGCTCTACCTGCTGCACATTAGCCTGTGTGGATCTTTTCTTTTGAGCCTACTTTATACCATTTTTATTAGATTTTACACATTAATGGTATAAAGTGGCTTTTAGCATGTGTTTGGCTTTTAACAGCAACTTAACACCTTGTTTAAAGTTGAACATGTCCCTGGCAGCGCCTCTCCCACAGTTACACCACGACCACTGATACTTCCACTCCCTTCCTAGTTATGACCAAACATTGGTCCAAGCATACTTATGAATTAGTTTTACATTGAATCATTGCACCGGTCACAATTAACATCCAAAACCAACTGTCAATGCAACAAGTAGTGTGCACTGTATGTAGCAAGGCAGAAAAAAAGGAGTGGAGTTCATTGTTTCCCTAACTTTAACCATACTGCAGTTGCCATGTGCAGAAATTCTAGAGAAAATTAATTTAAAAAATGTTGGCATTCCGCATTAAAAATATTGTTATTAAATGTAATCAAGGGTTTTACAGAGAATCCAATACCAGTTTTCTGCCTCATAATAGGGTTGCTTCATTGAATGCGTTTAAACCGCATTTTTCATTTGACAGTGGTCTCAGTTTTTATCAGTAAAACTGTATAAACAGGCCGGATAGTGGCTTGCGTTTTACTTACATGTAAAGCATGGATAGATATGGAGCTACATTTGTTTCTTTATTATTCAATCAAACAGAGTAGGTTTTGCAATCAAAAAAAGATTTGAGAGCAAAAGTATCTATAATATATTGTAATATTGCAATCAAAAAATGTTTTATTCCAAGTAAAAAATGATTGATTAAAAAATGCAAATCCTAAAGTTTTGTTTGCAAGTCATTTTTTTTCGTTTGCAAGTCAAAAAGTTTTGCGAGTAAAAAGCTGAACCTGGTGGGCGGGGCCTAAACTGAAAGCTGTAAGACATGTCTCTATTGGCCAGTCTCAATCGGAATGACAGCTTGCAAAGCAGTTTTTTTTCTTCTTCTCTCGGTTGGCAGATTGCAAACGATTTAAAGGTGCATACCGCCACCTACTGTACAAGAGTATGCAACATCATGTCATTTAGCCTGTCTCTTAAATTCTACTCATCAGCCTAGTACACTTGCAAAGCAACATGGGAGTTCTGTAGTTCACGGGGAATTCAGTGCGGGAGCTGTGGCGAAAATCAATTCTGAAACCGAAGTTTTTCGGGCTCTGGTTTCCAAAAAAATTCGTCCACACGAGTGGTGTGATAAAAAATATGATACACATGCCAAAGCAGTAGGTGGCGATGTAACTTCTAACGGAAAGGCCATTTCAACCAATCAGAAGTCAGAGTCAATACCGGAATTGGGAAGTGCGGAAAATAAAAACAATCCAATCCACAAAAATAGCGCGACCTAATTCAACAGCAGAGGTGTCTGAACAACCAACTACACTACCACGAAAGCAGCGACTGGCCTGCCGACAGAGGTCCGACCCGGCCAGATCCAGAACCTCCCTTGGCAGGCCCATCGCTGCTTTCGTGGTAGTGTAGTTGGGGTAGCTAGCAACAGGAGCAGCCTCCTTCGTTGGTCGTTAGGTCGAGCAGCTGGATATGACATAGTTAGTGTGACATATAGGTCATTTATGTGAATCTGCCCACTCAATTGTGACATTATTTTATGCATATGATATAAATTTTGTATCTTTACAGATACCATACAGATACCCCCATTCAATTTAAAGCATAACTGATTTGAGTAAAGGCACAAGAGCAAATCTGGGCATATAAACAGTTGGTTTGCGCTGCGTTCTTCAGTTGGCAGTTACACCTAGAGTAAAGCTACTGAAGACCAGCAAAATCACTGTTTTCATTTATTCTTTCAGGTGGGTAAATGTCACCTAAGCACCTTCAGATTTTATCAGTAGTCTACCCTTAATAGATAATTTGTTTATATAGTTTGTACTGTGCTTTGTGATATTGTTTGAGGGAACTGTAACGTAAGGTAACTGCATATGAATGGATGCAACCGTCACTAATGCTAGCGTAGTTCCTCAGGAATTTAAGATGTTGTTACTTTAATTTTGACAATCTAACCTGTGACATCACATTAGCTAAGGTGTTAGCTACATTTTGTTACTCTGAGATTACTGAACTGATACATTTTCTTCCATTTTTGTGTCCATTCCAGCTGGAGGAGTCTGAGTTTACCTGTGCGGCTGCTGTTAAAGCTCGTAAGTCCATGGAGGTGGAGATAGAAGATCTGCACGTTCAGATGGAGGACATCTCCAAAACAAAACAGGCGGTCAGTAGAACTCTCTAAATCCTGCAAGTTGTTGTTAAATTTAAAAAAAAAAATAATAATTCTATCACAACATTTAGAATAACCATCAGTGATGATCACCTAGAGTATGGTTTTATATGGCTGCACCATCTGTGGTGGTAGCTAGGCAGCAGTAAATACTGTATGTCAAATGATTGCCTTTAGCCAGAGATATGGGGTTAGAGGGCAAACTGTTCCCTTGGAGCCCCTGTGTTCTCCATTTTCTGCTTCTTTTACCATATTTTCCAGTTCTCTGCTGTAGGATCTTTGTTTTCCTGCAAAAACATACACTTGTCTTTATTCAGTCTATACCTCTTTCTTTACATCTTAAGTGCTCTGTTCTTTTTTCTTATCTTAGGCTATCTTAATCTTTTTTGACCTTTATATTTTCTGTCCTTTTGGCATGACTTTTCTTACTTTATACCCTGTTCCCATGGCAATCTGCTTCCATGTGTTGGTCAAAGTGTGTTTTTTTTCCCCCTTTTCTTCTCTCCCACATCTCTCCTGTTATTCATTACCCTCAATCTAACTCTTTGTCAGTGATGTTTAATCTCCTTTTGCTTTCTCTCCTGCCTGGTAAAGAGAAATTACTGACTGTTAAAACTGCTTTTAACATATTGCTGAATCTAATGTGAATAAGACATGGCACCTTGAAAAGTTTGACTGTGTGTTTTAGAAAGGTGAATATTATGTCCACAGTACAGTGAAGGGTAAAGATAATTGAGTTGACATAGCTGTAGGTCAGGAACAGATACTAGGAGAGGAGAAATGGAGGGATGGAGGAGGGTATCAGGATGATCTTTGCATTTTCTCATTTCGTTTGTTTTTCACTTTTTCTTTTACCCTAAAAAGAAAGATAAACCAAATAAGTTTGCACATGTGAACTCATTGAAGATGTCAGTTCATTTCCAAAAGGATTCCTATTTAGTAAATGACCTGGAGAAGACCTAAGTGCTCTTAAAGATTTCTTAGTAACCAGTGCTGTGTCATTTAAAAAATGCCTGTTTGGAACAGGCCGAGTGCTTGGCCTGTGGTAGTGCTGCTCGCAGCTTTCTCGAAAACTGCTCACACAAACAAAAGTTTTAAGTACTTCTTCTCCCATTGCAAATACCAGCATTCATAGTTAGAGAAAGGGTGAAGAGTTAAGTAAGATGGTGTTTGCCTGGGGCCCCAAAATACTTAATCCGCCCCTGAAAAACACACTCAAGTTGGGGCTACTTGCAGTTAGAAAAAACAGTGAAATACACTTAGAGGAGATATTCATTTCCAAATAGGCCTGCTAGTTGCTTGCTTTGACATGAACATCACAGTTATAAAGTAGATCATGGATTTAAATAGCAGAGATATTTTGCCAGCTGTAAAGTTGTCAATGTTACAAGTTTATGTGGCAGATTAAAACAGTTTGAGTTGCAGTGGCAGAGTAGGGCTGTTTTTGTAGGCTATTGGCTCTTGCTTGTTGACAGTGTTCGGTTGTATTGTTAATTTATCCAGCATTCAGCAGCAAAAGTGAGCTGCAGTCAATGAGCTGCGGCCTGGAAAATCCTGCTGTGGACGTAGCGCCCCGCCCCACTGCTGCACAGAGCATTACTGTTCACTTGTTTATTCAAAGCTTATTAACACTGAGCATGTCCAGAATGCACCAAATTTGACACTGCCCGTCCTTGGGTCACCCAGCCACACACCTGCCAAGTGTGAAGTAGATCAGAATGGAATGGAGAGGACACACATACAGACATACAGAGATACCTTGCTATATAGCTAGACAGTGAAATAATGAGCAACATTGGGGAATTATGGACTGTGCCAACAGTATAAATTATTGTCTTATTTGGTGTTAAACTACATTTATAATCATCAATGCATCTCATTGAGTAGGACTAACTGCACTGTGATGAAGTGACACATTGGGCCTCATGCAGCAAGTTTCTCTTAAATTTCTCTATATTTAAAATAGGAGAAGTCAATTTCAGATTCACCAAATGTTCATCCACCATCCAAATCTGCTCTTACCCAGCTGTGCTGGATGATGAATCCCACTTGGTCATGAGTATTAGCATAGGTAACCCCCCTAAGCACTATATAAGGGCAGGTGTTGTACAGGGGTCGCGTTAACCGGATATTCTCGGTCATTGACCGGATTTTTACAGCAATGACCAGAAAATCTGAAGGCCGTCGGCCATTTTGACCGGTTGCAATTACCACCCCTGCCCACTTGGCGGTGGAGTGCACAGTCTAGGTTTAAGTGGCTGCCATTTTCACACTGCAGAGAAAAAGTCATTCATCTGCCTCATATAGCGTTGTTGACATAACGCCCTGGAAACACCGGACGCGGAACCGAAGCACAGCGCCCAGCAGCGGAGGCAGTTTTCAGTCAGCGCCCATGTTAACCTATCTGACTGTCCACACAGGCCGCTGAGCAGAGCGGAGCGCCTGCGGAGTAGAGGCATTTTCACGGGAGCCGCGAGTGCTTCTGCCAAGCTGGATCAAGCGGATGGTACCAAACAGGAAGTCGGACACAAAAAAGACGAGAGAATCCGGCCAATTTTCAAAATAAAATAACAACAGCACGCACTGAGGAACGTGAGGAGAAAATACCGTGTTTATAATTTATAATAACACAACAGTGCATAACTGAACACATTTTTCAATACCATAATCACTTCATTACAATTTTAATTTTGTGTCACCAAGCCTACAGGCATAACTACATAACGCCCTGGACACACCGGACGTGTTAGTGACGCGTTAGTGCCGTCCAGTGTGTCCAGGGCGAAGCCTAATGGCACGGGTGTGTGGATGTCTGTTCATCTTTTCGTTGATGTCCTTATTAATGCACACTTTATAACTTGCTTGTTGGATTTATTAAAAATGAACGAATGAAAACTAAATGTCTTTGAATAGGCTATCTTTATTATCATTTAAAAACGAAAATTAAAATGAGCTGTAAAAATAGATTATGACCGGATTTTTATGACCCTGTCGGTCAAAATGACCAGCGACGAAAAAGTCTAGCGCAACGTCTGGTGTTGTACCATGTGCAAAGGACTCTAGCACATGTGCGAGATTGGAGAGAGGTCATTAAAAAATGGCTGTAAGAAGAAGAACTTAAGCGGTACAAGGTTCCCACGTTCATGGAAAACCTGGTTGTGGAATTTCTCAATGACATTTTTAGGCCAGGAAAACTCATGGAATTAGTAAAAATCATTAAAAGTTTTGGAAAAGTCATGGGATTTTGTTGTGTTTAATCAAATTGTTAGACTCCAGCCCTGAAGATGTCAACTTTCTAGTTAGGTGTTATTGTCATTACGCCACCTACTGGCAACAGGAAATAAGCCTTGTGTGATAGTATTATTTGATTTAAACAAAATTTACATAATGTGGTCTGCAATGCATATACAGCAATATGAGGTATATAACTGAGTTGTCTAGCACCACATAGTGAACACAAGAAGTTGTACAGCATTTATAATACATCATTTCAGCACCACCACTCCACGCAGTAAATACCATGTCATTCCTTCTTGCAGACTCTGACTTTCACAGCAAACAGAAGATGCGTCAACTGGCAAACCGTCAGAACCCCAATGTGCACAAAAGTGCAAGGGACCGTTGAATCTTTAATGATTTTTGAAGCCTAAATGATATCGCCAGAAGTAAAAAGATAACGTTAGGCTATAAAAAAAAACACACCATGGTGGCAAGGCTAAATGTCGACCCCACAGCACTACTGGATGCTGTGGTTGGCGTGATGATGTTCTGTAGTCTCATTTAGCCACTTGTTAGCAACCACCTTTTTTAAGACACACAAAAACTTTAAAATTCACAGTGGAGTATTTACTGACGGATTTTATGTCGTCAAACAAAGCGTGAAAGTCTATTACGCACAGGCCTTATTTCAGGCATTTAACCAAAAACTCATTCAAAAAACCCATTGATTTCAAGATTACGGAACCAGGGTTGCTAAAATGTTAACTCGTTTTCGAGTCATTGCTGGGGCACTCTAGAACTCTATAGGTAACCTTTAAGTAAGTATCAGACACTAGCCACCCACTTCCGTCCCTAAAAAAGAAACTGAAACCCTGTATTCTTTAACTTAAAGAGTGATTTGTCCCCTATTTAACAAACCATGAATGACTCCATCTCAGCTATCATTTTGTCAGGTTGTTTGAACAGGTCTAGAAAAAAATCCACTTCAGAAAATTCAGACCATGGAAAGCAAATGCATCTTAATTGTTTTCACAAAATGCATGATCCTCTTAGTGGAAGGTAGGAAAAGGAATATTTCAGAGATAAGAACGTGCCGCCAGCTGTTTGCTTTGAAAAAGTGTCTTTGAGGACAACCTCTGGAGCACACATGCAGCCTGCTGCGATAGTAAGAGGCTGCGAGAACTGATGACAGAAATGGTTATTACATAAATAGAGGTGTTTTTTGTTGTTGTTGTTGTTGTTGTTGTTGTTGTTGTTGTTGTTGTTTTTGATGCAGCCCGACCACATCATACACTGCAATTCAACAAAGATAAAATCATGCAAATAACATTTCTCTCAGATGGTCCGCCATTTTTGCCATTCTCCTGCCATTCTATTGCCGTAATTGCAGTGTTTTGAGAAAACTGTCTCGCATGTTTTCGACAGCTTTATTTTTTCACTGAGAGCCATGGCAGCCTGAGAGAAAAAAACAAAGAGCCAAGCCACGTAATTGGGTTGAGATTGCACTGACAACCTATTGTTAAACGTGTTAAATGAAAGTTTGATGCTTTCGACTGTCACTTTTTTTTTTTTTTTTCTCCAAGCGTCTATCACAATATTTTACCCATGCTGCGGAGCTGGAGCTGCTTTCAAAGCTTTTATCAGCACTCAGCGAGGCCAACGGTGAATTTAAAAAAGGAAAGTGTGATATGTAAATGAATTTGCCCCAGATTTCACATGGATATTTTTAGTTACTGAAGTACACCTTGGTATGTCTCAGCAGTGGGTGGTAATAGTGAAAATAGATGAGGAATAAATAAATCTTACCCTCTCAGTCCAAATCCATACTTTGAAGCTGTCTTTTGATTCAGTGATTTGGGTCCATTTTACATCCTGTTTGGATTGTTTCTTAATAAGATAGATGCCACGGTGTCGGCTTTGCCTGTCCCTGACTCCTCTCATCTACTCGCTATGTGCAAATGGATTCATTAGCCTTTTCTCACAGCCACATTAGTCATCATTTATTAATCCATAGCCCTGCACCACCAACCTCTCTCCCTCTTTTGTATATTATCCCAGTTATTACAGAAATAGGATTACTTCAGCACAGTCCCTCCCCTCAGCTGAAGGCACGACACAGTTGCTGCTAGCTCTTAGCCTCTAATTGGATATCTTAGTTAGGACTGGGACCTTAAATAACCCCTGTTGGGCCCTGTGATAAGAGGAGGTCTGTGTAGGAGCTAATAAGGGCTCTCCTCAGAAAGCCTCTGCTGTGCATAGAGTGACACACTTACAATGCAGACAAACAGCTCCAAACGATGACAATTTAGTTACATTTCATGTATGGAGATGATGAAAGGAAAAGGTATTGATTGACTATCTACTTGTATACAAAGGTAATGTAAATGTATACACCAGTGTGCTTTGGGAATGTTCCCATATTTTTATATATTACTTCTAACTTTCAGTTATATATTACTTTGATGGTATAGTGCCCGAAGGTGTGAGGTGAGCAGAAGAAATGAATTTATGCAACGACATATGTTTCCAGTCATTAGTACATACCAAATTATCTTGTTTTGACTAAAAACGTTTCATGTTTGAATCTTTTTTTTAATCTTGCTGCATCACAAAATCTTTGCCCTCATCCATCTATCTGTTATAACAGTGTAGTGTTATATCTTATTTCAGCATAAAAGAAAGGATAAATGAAGAATCTGAGCAATTATTTAGTTTTTTGTCATGGTGGCACAATATGCTGCTGTCAGTAACTATCTCTGTACTTAGTCTATGCTCAGAAGCAGTCAGTTCCTGGTTTTGTTAATGAAGGTATTCCAGTGAACTACCTCAGTGTTGAGAAATGTGTTTTTGTCTGTTGATCTCTCTTCAGTAGGACTGGTCTAACATGCCGGACTTGCACAGTAGCTGTTTATATCACTAGCAGTATTAAGTGATTTACTATATGTGGTAAAATCATGGGTGGATTACTGAATGTGCCTATTACATATTGGCCCAGGGGCCCAAAGTGTCAGGGAGCCCACTGGCCTTCATTTGCAAAATGCCACTCATATAACATGTACCGACCAGGAAGAGACTCAAAAAGAGTAAGACCACAAAGAGATCTGATCTTTTTAAGAACTGCAGGAACTGCAAAGAGACACAAAATGACCACACACAAAATTGCCACAGAAGTGCCTTTCCCACTGCACAAAAAAACTACTTAACACCTGGCTTTTTATATTTAATGGTAAAGATTACAGTCAGCCTTCACTTCTGGGTCAAATGACTCTCCAACGGTCACTGGCATTTATCAGCTCCAAGTCCGATAAGCTTTGATCAGCAGTGATGGAAAAAAGACACCAAGGCGGACGTGCTAATTTAAGCTCCTTTGCTGTGTGATGCAAAGACAGGCTGCCACAAAATAACGTGCAGAGAGGATAAGCAAGGAATATAAAAAAAGAGGTAACCATAGTAAGACTTTACTGGCCACCATGCTACTTTTTACATTTACTAACCTGTGACATTGAATGTGACACATCAGGTAAAAGAAAAACAAAACAAACAAAAAAAAACAAAACAAAGAAAGGCATACTCATCTACTGCAGAGCCCAGGGTTCCCACAGTCATGGAATTTCACAATCACATTTTCCAGGCCTGGAAAAGTCACGGAATTAGTAAAAACCACTGAACGCTTTGCAAAAGTCATGGAATTTTGTTGTGTGTAATCAAATTGTTTCAGTAATATTACATGGATAAACTTTCATTTAATGTAACATTATGGCATAAATTATTTTCCGTAGCTTACAACATAATGTATTTCTAAGGTGCGTCGATGTGTGAAGTTTTGTTTACCATCACATACATTTATTTATTTTTTCCCGGCGTTTCATCTCTCCCTTCATGCATACCCGCAAGCTGAAATCATGATAAGTTTGAAAATCGCTGGTCAAGTGGAGCAAAGATAAACCCATGGGCAAATCTTTGCCCATGAGCTTCTGTGACTTTAAAACTGTTCTTCTTTTAACAACCACGTTTATTATTTCTATTTGCATGTCTTCATGTTTTTCCCCCACCAGCAGTACTGCTGCACCCAACTGAAATCACTGTATACAGCAACACATTATTTGTTATTTATGTGCTGCTGATCACTACCTTTGCTAATACGCACAGACATTTACTATATCAGCTATAACTGTAAATGTAGTGTCATGACTGTAAATCAGAGTCACTCGCAGCCTGTTTAGTTTTGGCCAATTTTATTCTGAGAAGCAAATTTTGTTTTCTAATCTGGAAAGCTGTAGGAACTGATATTGTTCCATTCAGCAGACTGGTAGACTCCAAAAAGGTTTTTTTAAGTGGCAGTGCATTGTGATTAATGCTTATGTCTCCTCACATTTTATGTTTGATAGATGTTATTTTTTTACAGCTGTAGATGCATGAGCAAGATTGGTGTAGCTGGAATTTATCAAATATTGCTGTTATTAAAAAATGAAAAGGTAAATTACAGTTGTGTTACAGTACAAAAGCATTTGACCTGTAGATGTGTTAAGAGACCTTGACCCCTATAGCACAGATCCTGTTTGTGGGACTGAGGTTTTTTTTTTTTTCTGTATTAGAGTTGTTTTTGGTTTTGGTAGCAGAACTGACACAGTTCCAGCACAGCTGGGTTTGTCTATTTACAGACTGATTTGCTTTCTGTCCTTCAGCTGGAGGAGCAGCTGAGTCGTCTGCAGAGAGAGAAGAATGACCTGCAGTCCAGGATGGAGGAGGACCAGGAGGACCTCAATGAGCTCATGAAGAAGCACAAGGCTGCTGTGGCTCAGGTCTGCTTTTCTCCTCTTTCATAATACTTCCATTTACAGCTTTATTCTTTAAACTATTAATTAATTATTTAGATATAATATGTAACTTTTCCGTGTGCATTTCATTTGGTTGCCTGTCAAGTGTGTCGTATAACCTTTACCCCCTCTCGTTGCTCTAACTTGCAGAGAAACACAAAAACACCTGTCTTATTCACTGCAACACATTGCAGTGAATAAGACAGGTGTTTTACTATGTTGAACGTATTTCCTTCCTCTCAAAATATTTGCAGTCATTTTTTATATACAGCATTCTGAAATTTGGAGTCTTTCTCTTCCCTGCCTTTGCTGGCACATTGCAGCGTACTGTTTGTTGGTGTGTTACCCCATCTGTAGATTAGAGAAATAGTGATACCATTGGTCATTGGACTGTGTATCCAATCATTTGCATGTAGGCATGTACACTTGCATGCATGTGTATGAGACACTCATAGCAAAACTGCTGTGAAGTGCTTCTAGAGGTTAGAATCTCAGCAGAGAGCCTTAAAGTAATTCACATACACAACCTGTGCAGCACTGATCAACTCTACAACTAGTACTGTATGTCAGTGCTATTAATTCATCCCGGCCAGATATAAACCAGGAAGTGTAGATGGACCAGACATTTTCTTCAGCCTGTATAACCCATTTGAAACCTTTTTTTTTTAGCTTTTGGTAATGACAATTTTTGAAACAAATGCAAATGAATGTAATAAAAAGAAGCAATGCTACTTACTTTAGAAATAAGAAAACATATTTTTGGCCTCATATCTGACCCCGCCACTTGTGTAGAAACAGAATAAAATAGAGCTGTCAATGCACAGAACCACAACCACAACAAGTGGCAATAACAGTGACCAATAACACACTATCTCCCTTCACCCTCTCTTTCCCACACACACACGCGCACACACACACACACACACATTCATCAAGGTCAGGGTCAAGTGACTGGGAAAAGGCATAGAACATAATTTTTGACTATGCATCCACAGCCTAGATGTTCTGAAAAGCCACTAAATGTGGTTGGAGCTGCGTTACATGAAAAAGCATTTATTTGTTCACGACTGGAAACCGATCCATATATCCTGCCCTAACAGTGCTGCGCATGTGTAAGTCAACAGGGTTTTATATACATATTAGCATGCTCCTTCTACCACCATAAAACCTCAGAAGGATTCTCCTTAGGTGTCTTGAACACAATGTAGGCTGCCACCTTATCCTCAGGCTGCAAAGTTTCATGGGTGAGGAACGTGACGACAAGGTCAAAGGCTACACTTGTGTTACTGACTTTCAAAATGAAAGTTATTGTGGCTTTATAATAGTGATTAAGATGTCAACATGTTACACATACACTGCACATCTTTTTCATTTGTTTTATGTAAAAAAACTAAAAAATGTATTTTTGCTCTCACCCACTGCCTGCCCCTGTGAATTTACACATATATTAC